GTTGCTGTCCCCGGCGAACTCATCGTGCTCATGGGCCCGTCCGGCGCCGGCAAGTCGTCGCTCCTCGACGTCATCGCCGGTCGGCAAAACGACTACACGGGCTCTGTCCTCGTCAACGGCGAAAAGTGGACCAAGAAAATGAAGAAGCTCTCGTCGTACGTCATGCAGGACGATGTATTCTACGAGACGCTGACTGTCAAGGAGCACCTCCTCTTCCAGGCCGAGCTCCGCATGGGCAAGACCTTCGACGCCGCCCAGCGCGAAGCACGCGTCAACTACGTCATCGAAGAGCTCGGCCTCGACAAGTGCCGCCACTCGCAAATCGGTGGCGGTCGCATCCGCGGTATCTCGGGCGGTCAGCGCAAGCGCCTCAGCTTTGCCACCGAGATCTTGACCAACCCGTCGCTTCTGTTTGTCGACGAGCCAACGTCGGGTCTCGACAGCTTCATGGCCGAGTCGGTCATTCAGCAGCTGCAAAAGCTCGCGCGCGAAGGCCGTACGGTCATTGCAACGATCCACCAGCCTGCGTCGGAGCTCTTCGCCCTCTTTGACAAGCTTGTCTTGCTCTCCGACGGTCAAACGGTCTACAACGGCAAGGCGTCGGATGCGGTCGAGTACTTTGCGTCGCAGGGCTTTCCGTGCCCCAACTACATGAACCCGACCGACTTCTTCATGCGCCAGATCATCGCGCTGGACCCCAAATCGGAGGCCGCGACGCGCGTCAATAAGCTCGTCGCCAACTGGCACGCCAAGCAAAAGGCGGCCGATATCGACGCCCAGAACGACGTGAGCTCGAGCTCGAGCGTCGACGACGACACAGTGTATGAGTCGACGCACCTCGGGCCGTCCGGGCAGCTCCGCGTGCTCATCAAGCGCAACTTCACGCGGCTCCTTCGCGACAAGATGACGTTCAACGCGCGCCTCGCGCAAAGCATCATCATCTCGCTCTTCGTGGGCCTCATCTTCTTCCAGCTCGAGCTCACGCAGGCGGGCGTCCAGTCGTTCACGGGCGCGATCTTCTTTATCGTTGTGGACCAGTTCATGTCGGCGGCCAACCCCGAGTTCATCTCTGTGCCGCTCGAAATGCCCATCATGTCGCGCGAGTACCACAGCGGCTTGTACCACTCGTGGGTCTGGTACTTGGCCAAGAACCTCTCGGAGCTCGGGTTCCAGTTCTTCTACCCGATGGTGTTTTTCATCCCGCTCTACTTTATGGTCGGCTTTGGCGCCTCGAACGCGACGCTCTTCTTCACCATGTACCTCTTCCTCGCGCTCACGCAGAGCGCGGCGATCGGTCTCGGCTACATGGTGTCGTGCGTCGCCGGTCGCGCGGAGCTCACGCCCATCATCGGCATCCTCACGATCCTCCCGTTCCTCATGTTTGGCGGTCTCTTCCTCAACGCCGACATGATCCCTGTCTACTTTACGTGGCTCGAATTCCTCTCGCCGCTCAAGTATGGCTTCCGCGGCGCGAGCCGTGCGTTCTGGAACACGATCACCGACATTCCGTGCAACCCCGGCGCCGTGTGCAACGCCCGCAACGGCGACGATGTCCTCCGCAACCTCGCACTCGACAAGGGCTCGATGGGCGGCGACGCGGCCTTCTTGATTTGGATCAATGCCGTCTTCCGCCTTGTCGGCATCGCCGCGCTCTACCTGCGCATTCGCGCCAAGCACTAAGCACTAAGTACTAAGTATATCAACCCACGAATTGAATTCTTCTTCGTACGACTAGCAAATCTGTATATTGTACATGGCTTTATGCTACAACAAGGACCACCCACGCATGACGACAAGACGCAGCTGAGCCGAACGGTGCACCTGCATTCGAATCGCGGCCAAAGGAAGGGCATGCATAGAGTATTAGCTATTCATGTGCGACTCACAGCGGTGACTCCTGGCGTTGGCTTCCGTCCCACTGAGGATCAGTGCCCGCCACAAGCTTGTTGACATGGTCGGAAGTTGGAGGTCTAGGGAGATGGAATATTGCAATAAACTATCCTGCGTTTGTCCGTGTTCTTCTACTGGGAATAGTCGGCCTCACGGCAATCATGATGCCTTCGCATCCACCGGAATCTCTGATATTTCAAAGCAAAAGGACGCACACCATGCATGTAATATATCCAAGGCATCGTATCCAAGTCTACTCGTCGCCGTCGCGCCAGTGGTCGACGAGGTTGGTAAAGAGGCCCTTCGGGTTCTTGAGCAGCTCGCTCGGCGTGTCAAACTCGGCCGCGCCGCCCTTGTCCATGACCAGAATGCGGTCGCAGTCCAAGATCGTGTTGATGCGGTGGGCGATCGTCAAGGTCGTGCAGTCGACAAACTCGTCGCGGATGCTCTGCTGGATGAGCCGGTCCGTGTTGGCGTCAATCGACGCGGTCGCTTCGTCCATGAGAATCACCTTGGACTTCTTCAGGAGCGCACGCGCAATGCAAATCAGCTGTCGCTCGCCGACGCTAAAGTTCATGCCGCGTTCGTCGACCTTGTCGTCGAGCGACGTGACCGCCGAGTCGAGGTGCGCGCGCTTGATGGCTGTCCAGAGCGCCGCGTCGTCGTAGCGCGAAAACGGATCCAAGTTGGAGCGCACCGAGCCCGAAAACAGCACCGGGTCTTGCGGGATGATCGAGATCTGGTCGCGGAGGTCATGGAGCCCAATGGTCGCCACGTCGACGCCGTCAAGCAAGATGCGGCCGCGCGACGGCTCGACGATGCGCATCAAAGCAACGACAAGACTCGATTTGCCAGCACCCGTGCGGCCAACGATGCCGACCTTTTCCTTGGCGTGGATCGAAAAGGTGAGGCCGCGAAGGACGCGGGGGAGACCCGGGCGGTAGCGCAGGTCGACATTCTCAAACGTCACCTGGCCGCGGCTGGGCCAGCCTTGGGCTTGGAGCTGCGCTTGGACCTGCTGCGGCGCGTAGAGCTCGGCTTCCGTGTCCATGATGCAGTAATTGTGCACACGCTCGACCGAGACCATCTGCGTCTGGATCGTCGAGAGCATGCGCACCGACCAGTTGAGCGACTGGGTGACCGAGAAGGCGTACGAGAGCGAGACGCCGGCCAGACCCGCAAATGCAACGCTGTTGTCGGCCTCGTGGCCAAAGACGGCAAACAAGGCAGCGGCCGTGGCGACGACCGTGCCCGCAAACTCGAGGCGGAGCGCGAGCCAGCAGTTGGCCGAGAAATTCAAAAAATACGCGCGCTGGTTGCGGTCGAGAAGCTCTTCGTTGCGGGCGGCAAACTGCGTCTCGGCGCCAAACGCCCGGATGGTCGCAATGCCCTCGAGCGTCTCGGTCAAGAGCGCGTAAATCGGCGACCGCGAGATCGAGTCGAGGCGCTGGAGCTCGCGCGACGTCTTGACGAAGAAGCGCTGCGACCGGTAGTACATGTAGCCGAGCGGGAGAAGCACGACCGAGAAGTACGGCGTCACGTACACGATGGTCGCGAGCGTCGAGATGACCGAGAAGAGCGTGCCAAAGAGCATGCCCCAGTTGGCCGGGATCGACTCGTCGATCGCATAGACGTCTTTCGAGAGGCGGTTGACGATGCGGCCGAGCGGCGTCGTATCAAAAACGACATGGGCGCGCGCAGCACTTGGGCGAGGAGCTGGTTGAAGAGCAGCTTCGAGCCGCGGAGACCGGCGAGGTAGAGCGCCATGATGCGCACGTACAGCGTGAGCGTGTAGCCGGCGTTCATGGCCGTAAAGATCCAAAAGTAGTAGAGCTGGTCCGACTGCGACGACCCGGCCTGCTCCGACCAGTACGAGAGCCAGAACGTCGAGCCAATGTTGACGACCTGCGAGAGAATGTAGAAAAAGACCACCCAGAACGCCACGCCAAAGCCGCCGCACGCGCGGATCCAGACCTTGTAGGTGGCCCACGGCACGTCGCCCGTCGCGCGGTCCTCGTCGACAATCAGATTGCCCTCGGCGCCGCGGTCGTTCTCAATGTCGCTGCGCGCCGACGACGTTCGCCGGCGCTTCTCCATATCGACCGCAACCGCGCCGTCCACGTCCTCGACCACCTCGGCCTCAGGCGTCGTGGCCACGTCGTACACTTCCTCGGCCGGCGCCTGCTGGACGCTCTGCATGAGTGTCGCGAGGACCCCGTTCTCGATCGCGACGAGGTCGGCAAAGGTGCCGTGCTCGGCCACCTTGCCGTCGGCGAGGACCACGACGGCGTCGCAGTCCTTCAAAAACTGAAGACCGTTCGTCACCAGCACGACGAGCTTGCCCTTGAGCGCCGTCTGGATGCACTGCTTGAAAATATCCGACCCCACGTGGCTGTCGACGGCCGCCAGCGGGTCGTCCAAGAGGTAAATATCAGCGTCCTGGTACACCGCACGGGCAATCGCCACGCGCGTACGCTGACCGCCGCTGAGGTTGATGCCCTTCTCGCCAATCTCGGTGAGGTCGCCGCCCGGGAGGATCTTGAGGTCAGCCGCGAGCGAGCTGACGCGAATGGCGTTCTGGTACTTGGCGTGCTCAAACGGGAGACCAAAGGTGATGTTGTCGCGGAGTGTAGCGTTCTGGATGAACGGCTGCTGGCTCACGTACGCCACCGACCCGTTGAGGTGCACCGAGCCGCGAATGCACTTGACGTTACCCAGGACGGCTTGAATGAGCGACGACTTGCCGGCGCCGACGCGGCCAACGACAGCAACGAGCGACGACTGCGGTAGCTGAAGCGAAATGTTGCGCAGAACGACAGCGTCGTCGGTGGCCTCCTCTTCGTAGGTGAATGCTGCCGACTCGAGGAGGATGCCGGGCGACGTGAGTGGACCGGGCGTCACGGGCACGTACTCGGCGCGATGGAGAAAAGCTTCGAGGCGGTCGAAGCTCACTTGGGCCTCAAGAAGCGCCGTGATGGCTGCCGGAAAGTTGATGAGCGGGTATCGAACGTTCTCAAAGAGCGCGATGCTGGTCAGCGCCGTGCCGAGGTCCAGCGAGTGGCCGAGGTAGACGTACAAGCCAAATGCGGCGATCGTGACGACGGACGGCACGGCGTTGAAGATGGTGTAGCCATACGCCTTGGCAGTGACGTACCGACGCAGCTGTGCGAGCTCGCTCTCGCGGTAGTTGAGAATGCGAGCAACGAACGACGTTTCCCAGGCCTGAAGCTTGAGCACCTTGATGCCGGTGAGAACTTCGAGAATTGCCTTCAAACGCGAGTCCTTGACCGCCATGAGCGGCCCTTGGCACGTGCGCATGTAGCTTGTCATGGCCGACGTCATCGGAACGAGCACGCAGAGGACACCGACGCCGCCAAGGAACGCGACGCCGAGCTCGTTGTACATGAGGACGCTCGTGACGGCGATCTGCAACGGCGTGTACCACAAGCTGTGCGCCGAGTTGACAATTTCCTGGAGCCGCGTCGCATCGACACTGATAAGCGTCGCGACTTCGCCCGTCGATGCTGTCGAGGCGAGAACGAGCGCCTTGTCGTAGACGGCCATAACGACAGCCGACCGCAGCCGCAGCCCGACCTCGTAGCAAACGTAGTAGTACTGCCGCAGCGCCAGCGACTGCAAAATCCCAGAGGCAAACACAGCGAGCGTGTAGTACAACCCAATGCGCAGCGGACCCGACGGATCGCCAAGGTATGCGACGAGGTGCTTGATCAAGATGGGCCCAATGAACTGGAACGCCAGATGCAAGACCTTGAGGACGGCCGCGACGATGACCGGTCGCGAGTACCCGCGGGAAAAGGCGCGCCAGAGCTTGGGCGATGACGACTGTGCACGCTCGAGGGCCCACTGTGCATGGAAGACGCTGGCGGCGGTCGTGGCGCGGTCGGCGGGGTTGAGGAGGAAGAGGTCGTCAAACTCGAGCGGGCGGGCGTTGCCAAGGTTGAGCAGCGGCGTGAGCCACGAGAAGAAAACGGAGCTCCATGGGCCGCTCACATCGGCGGGGCAGCGGTCGCTCAGAGGCGCAGGCCCCAGCAGGCGTCGGTGCTCTGAGGATCCCATCCGTCGTCCGAAAATGGTGCGATTGCCCTTTCTCGACTCCGTCGGGATCGTGGCCAATCGGCAGGCCGTATCCAACCGTATACAAACTTGAAAGTATATGTATTCCACGGCGCAAGATATGGCGCTACACCTGCTTTGATGTGGCACGTCCGCAGAGGCCACCACGGATGGGTCCCGATGGATGAGCTCTGCACTTGAACCGCCTACATTCCGAGCGACCTTCATTAACCCGACGCTGCTGCACCACTGACGTGACGCCTCTAACCCATCCCGCGACCATACGATTCAAAGATACATTTATTAACCTAACCCTAGGAGCATAGAAACGGTAGACCATCCAGCGACACAACTGTCGTGGCTCGTTCGCTAAAAGCTGACTAGGCTGTACTACGCAAACAATTGTGTGCTGTATTACTGTATGTAGCGTATACAACTTGATCCTTGACATCGCTGGCTTCAAAGAGTTACGTAACCAAAGATGGGGCTTGAATCGCGGCGTTGGCGGCACCGTCGAGGCCTAGCCAGTCCATCGAGATCTTGAAACCTTTCTACTCGACTACCATCAGCGCGTCATCTTCGACGTTGTGGATTCTCGTTGTATGGTGGCCGATGGCTGCGGCCGACTAAATGTTGACCACGTAGGTGAAGAAGACACATTGTCTGTTTTTATTTCGACACTGCAAACGAAACCTTGGACATCAGCGACGGCGCGTCGTCGTACGTGGCGTGGGCGCCATAATCGTTCTTCTCGATCGTGCGGTGGAGCACTTTGAGGAAGGTTTCGTACTGCACGGTCGTCCCCTTGGTTTTGAATTGGAGCCGAATGAACGTGTTGAACTTGTTTTTGGAAAATTTGAAGCCGTAGCGCTTGATCGTGCGCCGGAGGATGTCGATTTCAATGTAGCCCGAGTGCTTCTCGTCGTGGAGCTTGAGCTCGTCTTGCATGTCTTCGAGCGACTTGAGGTGCGTCGCCGTGTACTTGACGAGCGCGGCGACCATCTTTTCTTGGACCTCGAGCACCTCGGTAAAGTGCTCGACCGACCGCTTGAGCTCGGCAGCGTTGACGCGGACGGTCGCGTTCACTAGCGCCATGCGACCAACGATGCGCGGGCCAAAGATGGCCATGTTGACGCCCAGCGCCAGCGTGAGTGCGAGGAGGATCACCGGATACCAGATCTGGGTCGGGTACGCGATCGACGGCCGCAGAATCGTAAAGAAGCTTTGGAGCACGAGCGCAAAGTACATGGCGTTCATGTTGAGGAGGAGCTTGATGAAGACGTGGAGGAGCTTGCGGGAAAAGAAGGGCAAGTGGAGCTTGGCGATCTGCAGCTTGAGATCCCGCGTGTGCTGGCGGCCCGTGACTTTGCGAAAGAGGGTCTGGAGCAGCCCCCAGATGGTCGAGTGGTCGGGCTTCTCACTCAGACTGTTGGCCACGGTCGTCATGCGTGCGATCGCCGACTCGGTCGTCTCGTCCTGGACCAAGTGTGCTTCCTATAGCATGAACGCATTAGGCCTATCGTCGTGCTAAAATCCAGTAGAACCTCGGTCGCGATACGTCCGAGGGCCGCGACGAGGTGGTGGTCCTCGGCCGCGCTGTTGCTGGCCTGCACGACGATCCAGTGCACGCAGCGCTTGAGGTATACGTTGAGGAGGCACATGACGAGTCCGAGGCTTGCGATAAAGACAAAGAGCACGAGGAGGCGCGTGCGCAGAACGTGCTCGGCATCGGCGTACGTGAGCGTGCTCTCGGGCGCCAATAGAACGTGGTCGACGGCGCCGCAGACGGCAAAGAAGGCCACGTAGATGCCCACGAGGAGGAGCCACGCGAAGATTTCAATGTCAAAGAGCTGGATGATCTCCGAGTCCTGGATCGCGCGGAGGTACTTTGGGAACGAAAACAGCTCCGGCAGCTGGTACGCGTTGAGGAAATACCGGCGGACGATCTTCATCTTGATGACCGAGTGGTAGATGCTCGGAAGGGCTGGCGAGCTGCTGTCGCCGTTCGCCGTCACTTCGTCGTAAAGCTCCTGCGCCGTGAGGAGCGAGAGCTTGTCGACCTGCGAGTTGTGCTTGCGCAGGCGCCAGAACATGACCATGGACTGCAGCGCGATCGCGAGGCCGTAGTAGAGCACCATGTCGTCGGACGAGTTGACCATTTGCTCGTCGTCGGCCGAGAGAACGTTCCACTGCTGGATGCGCTTGGAGACAAAGGCCGTGAAGCCACCGACCATGAGCTCTACACATCGCGCATGGTCAAGACGATGGGCCATGCGGCGCCAGTACCTTGGTACATCTTGGTGAGGAGGCGAAAGTACGTCGGATGGTGCTCGACGACCTTCTCGACGAGCTTGAGCCCGTGCTCGATCAGCAGCGCCAGTACGACGTTGGCGGCGACGAACCCAAGGCTCCCGAAGACCGAGACGGCCGGGTCGAAGCCCGCGTGGAAGAACGCGTTGGCGTCGTACGCTTCGATCGGCGCAGCGCTGGCCATGCTGCCGATTGGCGAATGACCTCTATAAACGCATAGCCATCGCACGTGAAAAATGTTTTACACGCGTTGGGGGATTGTGACGCCTCACAACCCGTCAAAATTCGGCGCGACCTTGAAGTTCGCTCGCGTCGTAGCCAACGGTGTGCTGCAACACAAGCGCAAAAGACAAATGTCGCGCCTTGTTAAAGCAGCCTGTAAAGCAGGCCCTTGCTTCTGGAAGCTTACGCCGTCGGCGTTCCTGCATCCACCAACGACAACCAAACAACCATGGATGCTACGATTACACACCATCTTTTACAACCGGCGCCACTCTTGGAGCAGCTCGACCAGTGACGCCGCGACGACTTACCTTTCTTACCGCAGTGTTCTTACCGTGCCAGTCGTTTGTAGTCGACTCCGCCACAGCCAAACGGCTGATTTGTAGCAGATTGGCAATTGTTGGTGATCCCCTGCACAAGTACCGGGGTACTTGGTTGTCTGACATTTCGACTTTAATTCCTTTGCGAAGTATCTTTGCTGAGAGCGGGTGGCGGAGACTGCTTGGTGAGGCTCTGGGACCATTGAACCCTTTCCTGTAGTATCCTTCTACCCTTCGACAACGAACGGGCAAAAGCATCCTCGACTGCTTCGTACCCATTCTTTCGACTTGACAACGTAACGCCAGATCGCACATTTCTCACATTTCCCACAGTTTCCCACACACGGGCCGAAGGTTGTCATGGCTTCGGAGCCGAGGCTCTTGACAAGCTAGTACATGTAGTCGACCTAGCATAGATGCGAGCATCTCGACGCCACTTTCTTCGACCGCTCGTTCGCTGTGTGAGCCTTTTTGTGGTGTCAAATTCAGCTTCGACCGATCGTGTGCGGCGATATATAATGTTTCAGAGGCTTCGCACTGGGTACCCACCACCTGGCACAACAATCGAAGCGACATGGTGGCGCCGGCCGTCAGCGAAGCGTTCCCGTCGGACGTGCTCTTCCACGCCGGCCTCGAGTACTCGGTGCGTGGCACGATCTACGCCTTCATGGCGACCGTGCTCTTCGTCGTCGTCTTCCGCTACGGGCTCAAGCTCCTCGAGGGGCGCACGGCGAGCCACGCCAAGTACTTTGTCTTGCTCAACAAGATGTACAAAGGTAATCACAAGTCCTTGCGCGTGGCTCACGCTCGATATAGAGCTCATGGTCGGCGGTCTCATCCAGTTTAGCTCCAACCGCCTCTCGCAGTTTGGCGCGGTCGAGCAAGACTCGCCCGCGTACCAGGCGTGGGAGGTTGCCGACGACATGGTCTTCTTCTTTGCGATCGCACTCGCGCTTCAGTCGGCGCTCATGTTCTGGCGGCTTCAGGCGCGCAACGTCGCGCTGGACACGCTGGCGCTCTACACGTCCGAGGAGCTGTACGCGGAGGCGACCAATAACGGCGCGCTGGCCACGATCCCCAAGCCGTTTGTCTCCGCCTCCAAGCTCTGCATCGTGCGCCATTTCTTCCTGACAAAACACAAGTTGCCGCAGCTTTTTAGCTATCCAAAGTACCTGCGCGCGGTCCAGGACACGGAGATCATTGAGCTCTTCGACGTCGAAGTGTCGACGTGGATCCTGCTTCTCCTCGTCTACAGCGGCCTCTTCTTCCTCTCCGACGTCTTTGTGAGCTACCACAACGACCTCAACCTCCCCGAGACGCGCAAGAAGGTCCACGACATCCGCCTCATCGTCATTGCGGTCGCGATCGCGACGCTGACGGGTACGATTTGCACGCATGTCCTTTTGTCTTATGCGAGCTTAGTCTTTATGCTGCTCATGTACGCGTACCTCAAGAACGTCGTCTACCGCATGGTGCTGCACGCTGGCGGCGACGAAGCCACGCTCGCAGCGTCGCTCAAGCGCGTGGGCGACGAGGTACACCTCGAGTTCTTCCCAGCGTCCGCTAGACCACTCTTCACGTAGGAAGCGTCGTCGCGTATCCAAGAGACGTCGTCGCACGCGCTTCTCAAGATGCACCACGTCGCCGAAGGCCTCAGCGACCGCCACGACCGGTCGAGCATCGGGGACTTGGTCTTGACCATCTTTCGCAAGGTCACGGGCTGCAAGTACAAGACAGCGTCGCACCGCCAGGCGTCGCAGCTCATGGACGAGCACGCGATGGACCTTCCGTGGTTCTCGCGGAAGGCAACGCATGTCGGCGTGAAAGTCCTCTTGACGCTGAACGCGCTCTACTTTGGCTTCCTTGCCCAAGCACTCGTCGTGCTCATTCCGCGGGACGTCGGCGCCTCCCACTACCTCATTGGCGGCCTCCTCGTGTACCTTATCGGTGCGCACATGGTGCTGCTCGCGCCTCGCATTGCGCGGCAGCTGGCGTTCGTCAACGCGACCGTGCGTGTCAACCCCGCCGAGCTCAAAATCGTCATCGAGCACTACGCAGACGTGCTTCAGTTGCAGCGCAAGATGGCGCGTGCGGTGCTCGCGCACTTGGCCGCGCGCGAGGTGACCATCGACGTCTTTGTCGCGGGCCTCAAGCTCGACGACCCGGACGAGACGGGGTACATGGAAGGCGCCGTTTTGCGCAAGAACATCAAGCGCTTTGGCTACAAGTTCTCGAAGCTCAAGTTCACGAGCTTTGTGCGCCTCCAGTTTGAAACCAAAGGCACCAAGGTCAAGTACGATCGCCTGCTCCAGATGCTCCACGACGAAGCGGCGCACCACGGCGACGAGGCGCTTCCTTCTACGACCAGCGACGTGTAATTTTGCGTTTCAATCACAGTCTCGTTGTGCTCATGTTAGCTGTCTCTGTAGACCACCAACGCCTACGACGTCCGACAAGACGACGCCCCTCCTCTCGCCGCGCCAAGTCGCAAAACGCTTCGATTGATACATTGAAATGATACAAGTCGAACATTTCTTTGGATGGAAGTATAGTCGTTCGTGTTCGTTGGCAAGTGGCATACGCTTCGAACGCCGCGACGGACCAGCATGATCGAACTCTAGAGCGTCCTATCATTTTGTGGGCACATGTGTGCACCATCTGGAGGCCGCTGGGTCAGGCGTGGTATCCATATACATATCAGGCGCCTTGGCAAGCTCGCCGGCTGCAACCTTGCCTGACGTGCGCTGTCCTACACTGCGACTGCACCGAGAGAGACTGCTACACTCTAGCGAGGGTGTCCAATGCGAGCCACGTGGTTTCCGCGAAGCACTCGTGGCGTGTGGTCAGACAACGCTCGAGTGCGCTACTCGATTGCGCTCATTTGAACGCCACGGAGAATCTCGCTCGTGGTACCGTATCTGGGACGCCACTGGCCCCACCACCACCACGAATTTCCCATGCTTGCATCGGCGTCAAAACGTGAGGGTGGATTTATCTCGGTCATTTCCACGTTTGCATGCAGCGGTAGAAAATTTCTACCGCCACGGGGCAGCAATTTCTAGTAGAAATTGCTGCCATGGCTATCTTCGCCCGTTTGGCTATCACGTTGTTTTCATTCGCTGTCCGGACGTGCTTGGGTTGAAAGATGGGCGGCGGAGACCAGTGTCGCCAGCTCTCGCCTTCGCCGCCTATCATCATGCGCTCTGGATGCAAGCTATGTAGATGCTTCCGGCGCCGGCCTCCGCGCTAGGCGGTGCCGTCTGCTCCGAGTGGCAACGCAACGGCGCCGTCGCTGGTCTCTGGATCGCAACTTTTTTCACCGACCCTCCCATCGCTTGTCACCCTGTCGCATGCGTTATCTGGATTGCGTGCGGTCGTATCCGGTTGCGTGCAGCTCGCCATGAACCAGTTTCCGATTCGACCATGTCTCGCCACCGCGCGCAGCAGGAAGGGCAGCTCTGGACCGCGCTCCGTGCGATCCAAGCGATCTGCGGTTTCGCCACCTTGCTGAGTCTCTTCACGGCCTACAAAGATATCACGCTGAGCGGCGTCGCGGACGACGACACGTACCGACCGGCGCAGCTCCGGCACTTTTTCCTCGCGATGGCCGCGTACACGTCGTTCGGATACGGCGTCTTGTACTTGATCTGCGTCCCGCTCTCGGGCCGTCTTGTACCAGACGTGCTCTTGGAGCGGCTCGTGGACGGCGTTCTTGCCGGTGTCTACTTGATCGTTGGTATCCTTCTCGCACCCAAGATGAACTGCGGCCTCGGCATGTACTGTACGTGCACAAGTGTGCAAGCCATGGTCGTCTTCGCCTTCTTCAACTGTGCCTTGAGCGTCATTGCAGTCGGAATGAGCTTGGTGCTGAAAACGCTGCCTGCGCACCCTGACAGTATCGAGAACCTCGTGCCCCGGGGCCATTACGGCCGAGCGCCATCGCCTGCCGAGGGCGATGCACCGCGACCCCGACACAAGAAGAAGCCGTCGTTGCGTGTTGACGACGACAACACGGACAACATTGCACCGAGAGGCAAGTTTGGCAGCGTTCGCGGCTCGAATTTGGCCGACCTCATGAAGCTCCAGCGCCAGGACGAACCCGCGCCAGCCTCGACCGAGCACCGCGTCAACTATTTCGTCTAACGAGACTCGTGTTTAATTATTACCTCGATGACGCACACGAGGTGAGCTTACGCAGACCTGCAACTGAGCCGACAGAGCAACTTGTCAGCTCATAGAGCCGAAAGCGCTCATTCAATCACATTGACGTAGAGTACATTGGTGACGGCTTAACCTGCTTAGCGTCGGCGCGGCGGCTGATCGGAGAGGAGCTTGGCCAGGAGCATGTCTACACAAGAGCATGCGATCATGCACGACGCTCATACTGCCATGCTGTACCGTCGGGGACGTAGCCGTGTTCGTACTTGGACCGCTGCGGCTGTCGGAAGATGAGCGTGAAGATCATAAAGGCGCTCGCCCCCACAATGAAGAGCACCATGACGTGCTCCATGGTCGTCTCGTCTACATGAACACGTGCAGCGGCAGGATTCGATTCCTGCGAAGTGTACCATAGATTTGGTCAAAGTACGACGGTTGGTCCGCGGCCGCGATCGGCACGGGCACGAGCTCTTTCGGCGCATCCACGAGCGAGATCATTTGCACTTGCTTCTTGGCAATGTCGAAGCGCGTGTAGTAGTACTGGAGGAAGAGACTCCCGAGGATCCAAAGGTCGAGCGGACTCTCAATCAGCCCAACGAGCACCGTGCCGCCGCCATCGACTGGGAAAGCATACATGCTTGGCTCAATCGTCGCCGTGTAGCCGTGCATCGTGCCTAGAAGAAAGTTGTACGGTGCTGCTGCTATCCTTTTCTTCGAGTACCCAAGACGAGCTCGAACGTGGGCAAAGACGCCATCGACATGCACTCAAAGGGACCGCCACGGCTGAGCATGATGCAGCCAGCTTGCTGGAGCTCACCGAGGACCGCAATCCAAAGCTGCGGCGGGATCGCGATAAAGCCCGTGCCACTGTCAAGTACTGACAACATATGAGATGCTATGCTAATACACAGTGAATGCTACCTGCTTGGCACCGGTTTTTGGTGCTGCCACAAAGCTGCGTGGATCCAAACGTCGCGGCGGGCAGGCCCACGGTCCAGTACGTGTAAAGACCATCCAGCTACGCCACCCGTTGTGATACAACAGCAACTTACAGGTGAGCCAACTACCTCTTCGACTGGGATCGTCGACCACTCGACTTGCGGTCCAGCATATTTGTCGATCACTTGGTTCACGGAGAGCACACTGTTGTTCGTGCCGTCCAAGTACAAGGCAAAGTCCGAGATGTACTCGACGGGGCTCGGGTGCGTGAAGAACGACATGGCACTAAAGCTGCAGAGGAAAAGATGAGAAATGCAGAGGCAATGAGCGTCACCCGAGGCCAAGGATGCCGCTGTTTTGGAGCACGTTGGTGATGCTCGCGTCCTCGCTGTACACGACGCCAAACTGCACGAGGTCCTCGAGCGGCACTCCATTTAGCGCTACGTAGCCACGTGATGATGGCTCTGTCGATCTTGATGCGCACCAATGCGGTCTCGTCCGACGCGCGCAGTCGAGACGCCCGAGCCATACGAGAGCGTGTTGTCGCAACTGCCGCGATCGCAGCCGGGCACAAACGTCGTTGACTGCGACGAGTTGAACTTGGGGCCGGCATAGCACTGCGCACAGTCGGTGCCTACGCGACACTAGAGAAGGCGAGCTGGCAGCGACGAAGCGCACCTTGCACCCAGAGGTCGGACGACCCCGTGTCGATGATGAGGTCGAACGTCTGAGGCGGTGTGCCAATCGAGACGTTGACCGAGTACTGCGACTGGAAGCCCTCTGTCTTGGCCACAAGCGCGCAGTGGAACGCAAGGACGGGCGTCGCGAGCAGCAGCCCGACGACCGTGACAGCGTGCTGCAGCATCGCTCCGTGCCCTTTCGGCGTCGGATCTTGACAAGTGTTCTCTGATTGGTTGGCAATTCGAGCGAACCTTGGGGCGACCAATCACCATCGAGCAGCATGCCTCGACGCATTCAGCTTGGTGTGCTGCCCATTCTACGTGTGATAATATTGCTCGCCATCGAGACGATGTAGCATATTCAACTCGTTAAATGAAGTGAAAAGGTTGCTCACCCAGTGCAAAGCGAGGCGCAAGCTCGCGAGGCCCAGCGGTTCCCATATCCGTTGCGACTGGAATAACTGCCACACGACAACATGGGCAATGCGAAAACCAAGCCCGCGAAGAAGCTCGCGAAGACCAAGAAGCCCTTCGACGGCTCGTTTGGACGGGATCCGACGTTGAACCCTGCCGACTACACGTGCAAGGGGCTCCGTGAAGCTATTGTCGTGCGCAAGCCCGGCAGTATTAATGGCCAGCAGTTTGTGCTCGAAGATTGCGCCCAGTGCTCCATCTTCCTCCTCGACCACTGCACCTCGGTGACGATCGACCAGTGCACGGACTGCACCATATTCATCGGGCCCTGTACGGCGAGCCTCTTTGTACGCGACTGCACGCGCTCGACGCTCGTGTGCGTCGTGCAGCAGTTTCGGACCCGAGACTGCCGCGACATGGACATTGAGCTCATGTGCGCGACGGCGCCGATCATCGAAACGTCGACCAACCTGCGCATTGGGTGCTACCGCTCGTCGTACTTTGCGCTGCCAGACCAGCTCGCCAAAGCCTCGTTCTCAATCTGGAACAACAAGTGGAGCGAGGTCCTCTTGCACCACCACGAGCAAAAGTTTCTGATACTCTCTCGATTCTCAGGTCTTTGACTTTACACCGGCGGCCGGCAACTGGAAATTCGTCGCCTGTTTGCCCGAGCGCTGGCCGTCAGGTATCGCGTTCCCAATGTGCGAGCACTCACGCTCTGTAGCGGTCCATCAACGCTTGCCAACAGACGTGCTCCAAGAGGTTGGCTACTCCGAGGACGTCGCGCAGAGTATCTCGCCAATCACACATGGCTTGCACCACCGGTCGCCGGACGGCGATGTGGGCTTTGTGTGCGTCTCCACGGTACGACACAATTTCGGAATGTTTCGGACGTAGCCGGGGTAGGGCAATAGCTTGCTGGCCCTGGACATTGCGCACCTCGCCCTGCGCAATCCGTGTCTCAAGCTTATTCAAACGCGGCAGTTCCGCGTCACGGCCAAACAAGCAGCGCGGCTCTTCGAGAAAGAAGCTGCGCACAAAAAGGTACTCGTAGCAAAACACTGCCCGATTGCGAACGACGGAGCTGCGTTCAACTAGAACGCGTCAGTGCACGACTTGATCGCGATGGAGTGGGCTGGCAAAGGCATCGAGCCCATGCTCCGCGCGATCGTGCAAGAAGACCGCGTCAAGCCGCACGCGGGTACCATTTACGTCAACGTGGCGCGCGGCAAAGACAAGTGCGAGCTCTGCTGGTCGACATGGAAGGAAGAGATCTAAGCGTCTGCATGAGTACATCGACTGTACTACCTTGTATCGATATATGTATTAATAAGCGACTTGTCTCATAGCTCTCGTCCCAAGCAGTAATTCAGTTGGTGGCGGCGCGGAAAAAGAGAAGATTGGAAATTTCGAAGCGCCAACCGCGCTGCACGTGGATCCAAGGTTGGCTCGCCGATTGGTGGATTTTTCAGAATATCGGCCAATCCGAATTGCACCGGCGCCCAGCGGTTCTCATTTTTATTGTATACAAACACCACGTTATATTTAAATCCTGGCATTGCAAGCCAACTCGATTCAGCACGGGCTTCTAAATTCGAAAGTTGAGCTGCCGCCATCCACCGCCCGCAGTCGCGATCGCTCCATGGCCATGGCATCGCACCACGTGATCGACCTCGTCTCGAGCAGCAGCAGCGACAATGAAGATGACCTAGCCCATGACTGCGGCCCCGACGACGACGTGGACGAGCCGCTACCCGTCGCCGAATATGGCGATGCGTCCAAGCTCCTCTCGCGGGCGCTCGAGTCGGCGATCGTCGACCTTGAGTCGGAAGAGTCGGAGGAAGACGAAGCGCTGCCGCAACCACCCGAGGCCGAAGACGACGCGTACGTCGCGTCGCAACCCTCCAGCATCGAAGACGACGACGAAGACGGAGGCCGCCGCGAGGAAGGCGAAATTTCTGGTGACGACGTTGCAGGCGAAGACGATGACCTGAAGGAGAAGCAGCTGCACGCCGAGAGCCTCCGCGAAGTTCTCGTTGCGCAGCGCAAGGCGGACGCGCTTCGCAAGATGCAGCTGGCGATGGCCCAGCGCAAGAAGCCCAAGAAGAAGAAGAAGCGAAAGCTCTCGGCGGATGTGTCGCCGCATGCGTTTGTTAAGCGACAGGTCTTCATGGAAGCGCCTGCTGACGGCTTTCTCCGCGTGCATCGCCACGGCATGGTCGAGAGCCTCCCGGGTATGTACCGCGATGCGTCCATGCTGCCGACGCGGTTCATGCATCCACCGCCGTACGCCGCAGACGTCGCCCAACAGCCAGTGCACACGGGATCTCCAATGCGTGCGATACCCCCGCCATTGCCTCCGTCGCCCGAGCCCGCCTTTGACCTCGAGAGTCTCCGAAAAGCCGCGCTGAGCTCGGTCGGAAAGCGACCACCGCCGATCAAGGTCGAAGAGCCCGTCACAAAGATGGCTCTGGGCCCGTCGTCGCTGACCAAGCCGTCCAAGTACCTCTGGACAAACCCGCAGCTGCAGGTCGCGCGGAAGAAGCCGCTCACGGCGCTCTCGCAGACGATTGTCATCAACCTCTCGATGGATGAGTGCGAACGTGCGCGGCAGCTCGTGGGCGATTGCACCGAGCCGGACGACCCCATCGCGAAACTCAAACAGAAGATTGCGGTGCGCGAAGAGGCCTTGCGTCAAGGAAGAAAGTCGGCGGCACCGTCACCAGAGTCGTCACCGCCGCCCGTGGCCTCGCCGCCGTCGACGGGGGACGACGTGGAGCTGGCGGAAGCCAACATTGGTCGCCTCGAGGCGCGGATCCACGAGCTTCGGCAGCGCATTGCCCTCAAGACGCTCGAAGTGCCGAGCGTCGTGTAGCCAGGACCCCACGCGGCTCTATTCGTGCCTCACGTCTCTACCTAGGGCGCGATGCACGTCGAGTAGACACAACAAAAACACTCTCAGATATGTAGGGTACGTACTTGGTCGCTATTTAAAAAGACGTAGACATTTCGAACCGACTACAGTTTGGCGGCAAGCTGCGTCTCGATCCAAAACTGCACCATGGCTTCGACATCGAGGAGGAGCGGCACGACCTGGAGGTGGTCGAAGTACAGGAACGGCTGCGGGTGGTCGTCCACGGGCTGCAACACCAACGCACCGCGCGGGGCGAGGCGCAGACGCACGCTCCAAGCGACGAGAAACTCGTCGCTCGAACAATACTTGAGGATGCAAGCCGCGACTTTGGCTGGCCACACGCCCGCCTACGCGCACAGTTGATGGAACAGCAGATACGTGGCGCGTACGAGGCTAAATTGGCTCGATACAGCGGCACAGAAGGCCTCCAAGAGCGCTTGCAAGTGAGTGTCGACGTCGGTGGAAGCGACGCGGACTCGGCCCGTGAGGGCTTGGTGCAGATCGATCTTCGCATTCGTTGGTCCCCAGGACGTGATGACGAGCGGAACCGTCGAGTCCTCCCGTTGGAGGCGCGTAAGGTCCAAGTCGCACTGCGCGTAGACGTCACGGAGCTTGGCGTGGGCGATCGTGAGGCCGGCGGCCGTCTGAAGGCCAACGTCAATAGCGCCGAGGTCTGCCGACGACTCGACCGAGAGCTGGCCGAGGGCGTAGAGCAGAGCTATTTCAATACCACCAGATGAATTCGATGGTGAGAGAGAAGTGCATGTACACAGAGGCTGGTCAAAATTGATGGGGCCGCGTCCGTGGGCTTGGAGGTCGGTGATGCGTACCTTGACCTTGGCGTCACGGACACCAGCACGGTCCGTGCCCGTCATCTTGCCATCGACATCGCACGTCAATGCTTCGACGGCGCACGAGTTCTATGCAGCAACGCATCGGTGCCATGGGATCAATGTGTATCGAACCATAAGCGTCTGTATGGTCGCGCCAAGGGCACGAACTTCGGCGATCTGTGCTTCGACTTCCTTCGTACCTAGGGACCGCCATGAGCTCTCGGATCTTTAAGTCGAGAAAGAAGCACCCGTGTGCGTGATGTTAGGCGCGTCACCACTCGCTGCAGTCCACGACTTGCGGCCAATGCGAATGCCGTAGACGGAGGTTTCCTGTCGCAGAGGTTAGGGTGCCGAAAAGGTCGCGGGGTCGCACCGGGCTGGGCTTTTTGGGCGTGACTTTTGCAGCCGACATGTAGCGAGCAACGAAGTCGCTCGATGCTTGGACTACGTTGGCGAGCTGGATGTTGCAGACCAAGTGACTCAGCTGCACGCGGCAGGGTACGTGCTTGTCGAGTACATCGCGCCTGTAGGTGGTGCTGAGGCGACGATGCATTTTCATGGACGTACTTGGTGCTCAGCACACACGCTTTAAAGTCAAAGAGCTCGTACGTGCACCCGCGAGGATCGAGCTGGCGCTGGAGAAGCAGCAGTTCCAGCAGGTGCTGCCACGTTTGTGTCCACTCGGCGAGGACGGGCTCGACGTTGTCCATGGCCTACGTCGTTTGGTGCGGTGGTCGATGTTACTCGTGTGCCTACGTGAGGTGCCAGCCAGTACGTTCGAAAGTACGTGGCGATAGCTCGCAGCGACTGGAAAGAGTGCGGTGGGGGCACAAGAGGAACCCACGCAGGCCCACGAGCAAGTTGAGCTGCGAGCGCGTCAAGCCGAGTAGCGTCGCAACATCGTCAAATGCCTGCACCGGCATCTTGCTTTCTTCGCGCTACGAGCACTGTGAGCTTAAGGAATACCGAGCGCAGCACTGTACTTCGTTCACGGGCTCGAGCGTCGCGTCCACAAGATTGGCAATCGCAGGCCCTTCGACTTGAAGCTCGCCGCGCACCTAGGCCAGGTCGTACGCGTGTGTCGCGAGAGACTTCGACACCTCGAATGCTGACGACTCGTGTTGGAAAAGGGGGCCGAGCTCCGGCGGAAAGTGTGCAAAAAGTACTTCCTGCACTAACATGTTGGCGACTTCGGTGAGCAGCATCTTGAAGAGCCCATCGGGAAGGTCGAGGCCGCCTAGTTTTGTCAGCAATCAGAAAACACAGAACCGAGTGCTGCACCTGTCACTTTGAGCTGCATTTTGTAAAATTCAATGCCTTTGGACGGTTCAGGTGTCCAGTGACCGTCCGTAGCGTTGTAGAGAAGGACGAGGTCTCCAACGCACTGCGTGGTGAGAAACACGGACGACCAGCGCGAGTTGGGCACGCGCGTGCCCTTCTCTGCCTTGAGTTTGACACCGTGCAGCCGAATAGTGACTTGGCCTTTAAACGTGACGTGGCAGCGCACCTAGACAGAAGTGTTGTGCTACCGAGCTCAGCGTTTTGTTTACACACCGTGCCGTCCGGCAAGGGCGAAATGGACGCGCCGAATTGGACCTTGATCGTGTCGACCCAAATGTCTTTGATGCCGACGAAGAGCCCGATGAGGTTGCCGCGCAGGAGGTACCCCTTCTCTTTCGGGAACCATATGCGCCGCTTCAGGTCTTCGTAGTGCGCGAGCTGCACGTCGAGCGACGACTGCGTCGCAAGGTCCTTCACACCACGCTTTTCGTCGGCGGCGATTTGGGCACGCAGATCGTTGACCGTGGCGAGTGTGGACTTGACCTGCGCCTTCAACTCGACCTTGGTTCGCTTCCACATGAGGTGGCGCCCGGCCATGATGTGCTCGAGACGTGCGTGGAGCTTTTGAAGTTTATTCACTTGGTGGCTCCACGCGTTCTTGTGCGATTCGAGAGAGAGGTTCTTCGAGTAGAAGCGGAGCGGGAGGTTCGCGTCGGGCGCTGGCAGTGGAATCTCGGGCAGTTCTTGCAGCTCGACCTTAATTGGCATTTCGACGTCTTCGACTGCGGGGGCGACACGGTTCAAGATGCGCGTCCGTGCCCACCGCCGACGTCTAGGACGACTCTAGTGCGTTTAAATCAGAGGTTCATGGAGCATACCGCGTATAGTCGGTCATGCCAGGCGATGCCTTGCCTTCGTCTTTGAGAAGCATGGGCGAAAAGCTACTCAACCGAGGTGTTGGATCCTGCACGAGCCTGGCCACACGATCGTACTTGGAGAAATCAAAGGCATACGTCCAACCATCGCGGTCGCACGGAACGTATGTCGCGTCAATTTCCCATGGACCGGTCCACGCCCACTGGTACGCCGGGTCGGCGCTCTCGGGTAACGTCGGCTCGACTTGCTCAAAGACCTGGGACGAGGGCGTTCCGTGGCTGCCGCTGTAGCGCTTCCGGTCCAGCACCGTGAGGTGGCCTATTATCTGCCACTCGAGTCCCATCGCTAGATGAGCTCAAGCTACCTGGAAATGAGCTGCCAAACCCCATGGTCAGGAACGAGTAGCGCTCGTTCTCGTAGACTTCGTCGACGGCGACGTCACTCTCGAGGTCACGGACGCCGTACTTGCGGTGCATCGTTTGAAGCAGCGTCGCCTCCGCGCCGGCAAACTGCGAGAGGAGCCTGTCGATCTCACCGAGCTTGGTCGGGTTGTGCGTCGTGTAGAAGACCTCGAGGCGATCGCGGATGCTGCTCGCCATCCCGCCTTTCTCGTCGTCTATCCGGACGACGGCCACTGGCGCATCCGGTTTCGACCGAAAGGGCAATGTCGGCGGTTTCAGCGGCCACTTCCTCAACAACATGACGCGGTCGGCCACGCAACGAAATGTGCGGGGCTGTCGACACTGGAATTGACGCCAACCAATCGCATTGGCGCAATGGCAGAGACACACAGCTGCCAACAAACGTTTGGGATTTTTGACCGCAAATGGCTCGGCTCACCGTCACCAGTTCAAAAGTGTACATAACTATCCCGCTACGTTGCTACATATTGCTTAGAAACGGTTCAGAATCTCCATGTCCCACGCAATCAGAGACGGCAAGATGACGTCGGCGTGGTCAAAGCGTCCGGGGTAGTCGGCAGGGGCGTAGAAGCGGGCATCGGGAACGGCGACGACGTGCATCCCCGCGGCTTTACCTGCCGTCACGCCGTGCATTGTGTCTTCGACTACGATGCACCTGGACACGTCGTCGACTCCAAGCTGGCGCGCGGCCTCCAAGAAGATATCGGGACTCGGCTTCCCGTTCCGGACGGCAGGGTGGTCGCCCGTCACGATCACTTGAAAGCGCTCAAAGAGCGTCGGGTGCACCGCGCGCTTGACAGCAACCGCCGACGCCGGCGATGACGTAGCGAGCGCAATCTTGATGTGCGACGGCAGACTGGCGAGAAGCTCGAGAGCGCCGGGAAGGATGACCGCGTCGTTATACTTGGCTTTCATCACAACGTGCCACTCGTGCGTGAGTTCGTCGGGTGTGAGCGAGAGACCCATTGCTTCAATGACGACGCGCGTCCACTGGTGCGCGGGTGTACCCATGATGCGCTTCTGGAGCTCCATATTGTAGCCACTGCCACAAATCTGCGTCAGCGCCGCGACGCTCAACATTTCCGTATCGAGAAGCGTTCCATCTATGACATGGAGTTGGTGTGTCAGTTGTCTTTACAAGTATACGATGTGATTACCGAGGTCAAAGATGACTGCTTCCATGCTGGTTTCCATGACCCACAGATGACAGTGCGGCGGACCGATGAAATACGAAAATGAGTGCATAGCGACGTTTCGGTCCTATCCGGATGCGACACGCGCTTCGGCGTGTTCTTCTGGTTTGCGAGCGTGCCACGTAAGCATCTTCAAGCCAGTCGTCACCTCTTGTCATTGCAATGCATGCTAGCATTCAAAGCATGGTCTATTATAGCACTAACAAAAAGAGCACAACGTATTCTCCGAGCTAGCAGTCATCTGCGTTGAAAAAGACTGAGCATCTCCAATCTGCGTGACTCGTGCGTCAGTGTTCGCGTTCGTTGCAGCAAGCTTATTTCCGTGGTTGCAAGTGGACTGAAAAATAGGGGGAATTTGCCCGATAAATTAATGCCACTAGTGCTCGAGGCGCCGAAGCTCGACCTGAATCTTGTAGGCGGCTTCGGCGGCGCGTGGTCTCGCGTACGGATCGTCCGATAGGCAGCGCGTGCCGAGCTCGCGCAGCCACGACGGAGACGCATCGGAAAACGTCGGACGGAGGTGCCCCAGCATGACTTTGGCCATGATCGCTGTGTCCGTTAGCGGCCGGCCTGTGCTCGTTACGGCGTCCGAGTATGGCAGTTTGTGCGAGTCGAGCTCAAAGAGAATGACGCCAAACGAGTACATGTCGGCCGACTCGTCGTAGTGACCGTCTTGGAGCACCTCGGGCGCCATCCAGCGGTACGTGCCAATGCCGGCCGTCATGGTCGCGTCGTCCATCTCGCGGGCAATGCCAAAGTCGGTGAGCTTGGCGTGCAGATCGTCGGTCAAGAGGACGTTGCGCGATTTCAGGTCGCGGTGCACCACCTTGTGCTCGAGCATGTGCAAGTACACAAGACCCTCGGCAATGTCATGCGCGATACGAAGTTTAGCGGCCCACGGCAAGCTGGCGTCGGCTTCCAGTAACGACCGTAGGTCGCCTCGAGGAAGGAATTCGGTCATCAAGAGCAGTTCCTGCGGCTTGGTCCATGCGACGCCGACAAACGCCACAACGTACGTCGAGTCCAGTCTACGTAGCGATAAGATAAGACGTGTAAGGAAATGATACTACCTCGCAACGAGCTGGGCTTCGCAAATGAACTTTTCCACGTCCTCGCGGGTCTGTGTCGTCGGTAGAAGCCGCTTGATGGCGACGACTGCGCCCTGGTACCGGCCAAGAAGCACCTCGCCGTACGCACCCTGGGCGAGTGTGCGCATGATGGTGATGTCGCCAATGTCGACGCGGTGCATGTCGAGGTCGCCCATTGCATACGCGCCTTTGCTGCCAGACAACGACGACGCTGCCGAGCCAGTGGTATTAACGCTGCTGCCCACGAGCGTCTGTGGGCGCGACGACGACGAGTGTTTACGTGCAGAGCACGGCCGGCCGCTCTGCAGCGCAGGGATGCTCTCGTGGCGAGTGAGCAGGGCGGGTTCGTCGGCCATAGCGAGGCGGCGGCGACGCGCGCGGATCGCAAAGACAATAATAGCGACTGCGACAAGCGCGCCAAGCACAAGCGCGCACGTTGTGATCGTCGACACAATGTCGGTGCCGCCAGACGTCGCGGTCGCCGCCGGCATTGTTGTCGCGAGCGAATTCACCAAGTTGGCGGCACCTGACGACCCACCGACGCAGCTTTGAAGCGCTGAGGCGTTAGTGCTGGCAAAGCACGTTGCGGACGACGGCATGCATGCTCCTGTGCCCAGACGACACGGGCGCAGCCCCGAGCAGACACAGCCAAACGAGCTGTCGTAGCAGCTGTTGCCATTCTGGCACTGGAGCCCCGCAGCGCGGTCGCAGAACGGTCGACCACGACCATCGTCGAGCGTCGCATCAGCGAGCGCGCATGTACCGGAGCTCACCTCGAAGCACGGCGCCGTCGGCAGGCACTGCGTGGTTGCCATGGCGTGTTGACTTGTGCGATGCAAATGCTGCCAGAATCTCGCCAGTAACTGGCACCATCCGGTTTCGACACACCCAAGGAGCACCTACAACAGATATTTGGGTGCTCTTCTTCGCCTGGGCACTGGACATTATGCCCGTGCTATGCACTCGTCTTGACGGTGCTCTCGAGGGTACCGGAACGTCGATAGAGTCACTGACGAGGTGTGGTAAATTGATTTACAACTTTCTGAATACCCGTGTATGGCGCTTTTTGCCGAGGCCGATCCTGTTGCAGAATACTTGGGTGGAGAATCGGCCAGGTGCTCCTTTGACATTGCACTTGCATCTTCTTTTTTCGCTGATCGCTGGACGAGCGCCGGTTGTCGATCACACTTCGGAGCATGGCCGTGCTGAGGTAATGAGTCAGGAATCAGTCAAGAAGGCTGAAATCGAGTCGACATCTTTTAGTCTAGCGGTATAGACACTGGTTTACCACCAGGTAGATCCGGGTTCAAGTCCCGGTGAGATCCCTACTTTCTGACTGGTTATGAGCCCAATATACGCACTTTCCCATGCGCGTGTACCACACTCTTCCTCACTCTCATACTCACTTGGTTACACTCTCCTCTGTTACGGGGCAGTACAGACGGCAGATGGCTTCTTGATGTGACACTCTCTCTTCTCCTCTCTCACTACTCCCACCCACTCTTGGCGGGAGTGCGCGTCTGGAGCGTCGAGATTGGGGAGGCAGTCAAGAAGGCTGAAATCGAGTCGACATCTTTTAGTCTAGCGGTATAGACACTGGTTTACCACCAGGTAGATCCGGGTTCAAGTCCCGGTGAGATCCCTACTTTCTGACTGAATCGTTGCAAAGTTCAGGGGCTGTCGTCCGTCGCAATGATAGCCCGTCAGCCCCATCGCGATTTACAAAGTTGCACTTTTGAATTCGAAGCTGTTTCTTCTGGCCTGAAGGACCGACATGCGACGCAACAACTGTGCATCGATCTAGCGCAGCGGTGCTCTATTTCGAAGCGTTCTCTCATCGGGCACGCCGATGCCACCTAGGATGTACCCGGTACTTGTAAAACATCGTTAGGAGCTATCAGATACGAAACGGAGGTTAGAAGAGGGCCCAAAGCCCCGTAGGCGCCACCCGAAGAGATTAAAGGTATACACATGCATCCAACCAAATTCACTAAATGTATATTTCGATTATAGTTTTGCCGAGGCCTCGATTTTTCGCAGCTCGGTCTGCAAAATATAGGCAGCTTGGGCGGCGCGCGGCCGGTCGTCGGGCTGAAACGCCATGCAGTGGTTACCAAAGGCTTTGAACCACTCGGGACAGTCGTCGGCAAACGTTGGCTGGAAGTCGCCCATCATCACCCGAGCCATGATGGCCGTGTCTGTGTACGGGCGCCCGCTGCCGTTGACGTAGTCCGAGTATGGCAGCCGGTGGGTGCTCAGCTCGGAGAGAATAACGCCAAATGAAAACATGTCGGCCGACTCGGCGTAGTGACCGTCCTGGAGCACCTCAGGCGCCATCCAGCGGTAGGTGCCAATGCCGGCCGTCATGGTCATGTCGTCCATCTCGCGCGAGATGCCGAAGTCGGTAAGCTTGGCGTTGAGTTTGGTATTCAAAAGCACGTTGCGGGACTTGAGGTCGCGGTGGATGATCTTGTGGTCGAGCGAGTGGAGATAGACGAGACCATGGACAATGTTGAGAGCTAGCTGGAGCTTTTGCTGCCACGACACCGTCTCGTCCGACGTGAGCTGAAGAAAGTTGCGGAGATCGCCCATGTCCATAAACTCAGTCACCAGCATAATGTCGCTGGGACGGAGCCACGAAGCGCCGATGAACCGCACGATGTACGGCGAGTTGAGCCTACCATAGAGATGATGAGTGCCCGAGTGTGCTGGTATGAAGCATACTTGGCCATGAGCTTGATTTCAAGGACAAATTTCTGGACTTCGTCGTGGGAGAGGGATTTGGGCAGCATCTTCTTCACAGCAACCGCAATGCCCTGGTACATGCCCATGCACACTTCGCCGTGGGCACCTTGGGCGAGGGCCTTGACGATGGAAATTTCAAACGACTGGATCCGGTACATCTCGAGCTCGCACAAGTCGAACTCACGCGACGACGACAGCGCCGAGTCCTGGGACGACCCTTGACTCTGAAGCGACGCGACGGTCGATGTCGTGTGCGTCGGTGCATACGACGATCCGTGGCGCGGGCAGGCAACAGGAGGTAGCAACGCTTCCTCGCGGTCCGACGTCTCCGCGACGCTGCGCAAAATGGGTGGCTCGGCGACGGGCTTGCGTCGACAGACGCAAAAGAGCACCATCGCTACAATGCATACGAGCGTGAGGCACGCGATGATCGTGATGGTTGTTGCGGCGTTCGCGACGCTGTCGAAGGAGTTGGTGGCAAAAAAATTGTCGGACGACGGCGGTGCGACCGTCGACGTTGTCGCGACCGGCGTCGGCATCGGCCCCGATGGGCAAAACTGCATTGCTGCGTTCAGCTTGGTGCACCCGTTGGACCACGGCAGGCACGCGCCGGACGCGGACCGACATGGACGGTCGCCACCACAGACACAGATCGATGTGATGTCGTAGCAAGTTGTTTGGTTCTGGCATGTACCCGTGAGCTGGATATCGCAGAACGGACGACCGTGGCCATCGTGCTGGGTCTTGTCACCGGGACAGCAGAGGTTGAGCGCATGGTTATAGCACGGGTCCGTCCCATTGCAGACGAGCCCGGCGGCCGCCGCGACCATCATAGCAGCGGTGACGAGAAGTCGAAACGCCATCGGTATTAGCTCAAGTTGGCAAGTGACGTCGGCTGATGGCTCTGACTCTTGGGTGCCAGAAGAAATGCGATGCAGCGCCCCATGTCGCGCCGGGTACGTGGCACCGGATCTCGCGCCCTTTCTTGATACGTCGCGTTGATTGGTTGATGCGAGATCTTCTGATGACGTGTGCAATGACCAGTGTCAAGATGGCGGGATACATGCGCGTATCGCGAAGGGGAAAAAAGTGCACTACAGTGTGGTAGTCTATACTACGGGCGACAGGAGCAAGCTCTGCGGAAGCACAAACGTATATCGGTAGTCGAACAGACAACAGGATCAAACTATCCGCAGAAACCGGTCACGACTGGTACTCTCAGAACTGAACAAGTCACGAGTACGCACTGGTGAGTTCAGCGCCGAGACATTTGCTACTGCGGTGGGAGAGAGGGTACCTCTAGTCACTGGTGGTCCTGCATATTCCGGTTCGGACGGTAACCGTAACGCTGTTGCGCGCTTGCGGATTTGTGGTGTGTGCACTGATGAGTGAAATGTAATGCACCCATGTGGCGCGCGACGTCTATGAATTGGATTATCCTGATGCAGATCCTGATGTGAACTCGAGAAGCACCGGCGTCAACAAACGCTTGAGCCCCGCTGACATAAACTCAGGACGATGACATCTTGTTTAGCTCGATAGAGCGACGCACGCAGGCGTTCGAACGACGACGCACAATAAGGTGGTCTTTAGGTAGTGTGATATGCTTTGAGGTTACTACACATAACGGTGGGCAAAATCACGCTGCAGAGCGCGTGCCGACGAATTCCCTGCGGACGTAGCATTGGCCACGGCGACAGGTCGGTTGTGTAGCACTCGCAGTCGGTGTTGCCTGTGATGAGCGCGTCATACATTGATGTTCACTCATTTTTCTGCGTCGTCGATTCCACAAAAAGTGTATCGCTAAAACTATGGTTCAAATAATGATTAGTCGAGCTACGCACTCGAAAGCTCGAGACACTGAAGCTCCAATTCGATCGCGTACGACGCTTCAAAGCTGTTGGTCGAGCCTTCGGGTCGCTAGCCATGCATTTGGCCCCAAGCTCGCTGAACCAACGCGGGCACTTGAATGAAAACGTCGGGCGAAACTCGCCCGTCATGACCTTGACCATGACGGTAGGCTCCGTGTACGCGCGGCCGCTGGCACTTCGGCGATCTGCGTACGGCAACTGGTGTGTGTCGAGCTCGGACAGCAGCACGCCGAACGAAAACATGTCGGCCGACGTGGCGTAGTGACCGTCTTGGAGCATCTCGGGCGCCATCCAGCGGTAGGTTCCAATACCGGTTGTCATGGCCGCTTCGTCCATTTCGCGTGCAACGCTCATGTCTGACAACTTGGCGTGTAGATCGTCGGTCAAGAGGACGTTGCGGGACGTGAGGTTGCGGTGCAGAACCCCAGAGGCGTGTAGATAGAGAAGGCCGAGGACGATGTCATGGGCCATTTCGAGCTTCTGCCGCCACGAGAGCGCGTTCAGCGGCACTGATGCCACAAAGTTGCGGACATCACCGAGGCCGAGGTACTCGGTGACGAGCATCACGCTGCGATCACGCCCGTCCGGCGTCGTCACACCAATGTACGACACGATGTGCGGAGATTGCATCCTAGTCGAGATGTGAGTGTTTCAAGCCGACAACCGCATAGCACGAACCGCGCGAGCAGTTGGCACTCGTCCAGGAATCGGTGTGTGGCGAGACTGTCCGACGATGGTTTAAGGAACTTGACGGCGACGGCGGCGCCCCGATACGTGGACGCGAAAACCGTCGTCCGCGCCCCCGATGCAAGCTCGCGGCGCTCGACAAGCTCGCGGGGGTCAATGCCGCCGTGAGACGTAGCAGTATTGGTGACACTTGTGGTGGTGGCGACGGGCGTGGCTGCAATTGCGATCGGTGCTGCCATGACGACCTGGACGTGGCTCGGTGGAGGGTTGTACACAAAGTAGTGGGGAATCGCGACGCGAGTCTGGGTCATTGAGGAAGGGCGCTGGCGGCAGCACACAATGGCAAGGACGACACTCACGACGACGACGCCCACGGCAACAGTGCCGACGACCCACATCACGGTCCACGACGCTTGGGCATGGTGGAATGCGTCAAAACCGCGAAAGTCGGTCTGAGCCTGCACCGCAACAGCAGCGAGTAGAAGGTTGGCCAAGCGAAGCATTTTGTACAATGACCTCGTCCACTGGCAGTGTCGCTCGGTGTAGTTCAGCAAGACGATCCAAGTGCCACGTCTCACTTCTGGCGATGTGAATCCAGTCTAGATAGTGTTTGTTGCCTTGTGTAATGTTTACTGCAGTGTCATTTAACTGGACGAAACGTACACGCCGCGTCGACAAGGCTGCGAACACGCAGTCGCTGCATCAGACATGCTCTACAGGCGGTATGTCGTGTAGCTAGTTGCCGCGTAGCAGCAAGCCGCACGAGTAGAATCCAACCAACCGATACTCCCACTATGTATCAACAACTTCATGCGTCCATGTCCGTCGTGTCCTGATTTTTGCTGCGGACGTTGCATTACATGATACGGTTGGTCTAAATCAGAAAGAAAACTGCTTGGCGAGCGACATGCGATTTTTTTCTACGAGATGAGGAGCTTCACGAGATTACTGGAAACAATGGAGCAGTTTTGGCACTTGTAAGATGAGTCCTCACGTTTGGCGACAAGCTTTTCTCAAAAGTACCGTATTATTATTATGGCATGCGCCAAGGCATTGATAGCTAGCTAGTACATGTAGTAGTACTGAAGGCATTCAATAAGCGCAGTCGGTTCCAGTTCTGGTCGCTTGGGCTGGCTGGATCTCGACGGCAACTGCAACTGCCAGTGGCACGGGGGCGAACACGGGTGATGGGGGGGCGTAGCTGATGAACTGCGGAATCGTGCCGTTGTCAAATGAATCTCGACGACGCCATTGGCTTTGGAGCGGAGGCTGGCGCGATGGATAGCGTAGATTCCGAATGACTCCATACACAGTCAGGAGGCTTACAAAGACGGCAAATACGATGAAGGTTGTCGTCCATATATCCTGGTCTCGTTGGAAGCTGCTTTGAGCGTCAACAGCACTGATAGCAGCAAAGAGAAGCACGAGAGTTGAGCGAAGCATGTTTTACAGTGAGCTTCGGATGCCAATGTCTCCTAGAGACATGGACGCACGAGAATCCAGCGTGTGGGGGAAATATTCGACGACAAGTTGAAGGGAGCTTTTCATGGATCCTGGATTTCGACAAGGCGTTAGTGTCTCAAACCCTATCCAATGAATCTGATAACACTTATTTAATCCTCCAGCGTTATCCCTTTCTCGATGAATTCTTGTCAGCTGCGCTGTCTATCGCTCTTCGAAGAGAGAAAGCCTACCCGGTACTTGTGAGGAGCGTGTCCCACGGTCGTAAATGTGTAGAACATCAAACGAGTTTGCAGCAGTCGAATTGGGTAGACCCATGGGGAAGAACGAGAACGCAAGGCAAACCGCGTCCACGAGCAGCAAAAACTCGAAGAACTAGAAAACTTTACTAGTGAGTACGTTGCTGCTCGTGTGATAAAAGTGGCATGATCGTGTGTCCACTTCAACAAAATCGTGCCATGGGCTGCGGCTACTTTGCTCGGGACGTCCAGTACCGCAACGAGCAAGTGTCATGCATCGCAATACCACCAATTTATTGCATTAACTGTTGTTGAAGTGAGTCTATTTAGATATAATTTACACTGAACTGGATATGGTGGTGGACTATCGATTCCAAGGTGCTACGATGAGCCGGCCGCCGAGAGGCTTAGCCGAGCGGGAGACGTGGCGAATTGCATTAACTGTAAAACTAGTGCCAGTCTATCCTATCTGGATTGTACTTGTCGCAAAGCGGCACGCTCGGACGTGATACCACGGTAATAGATGAGGAGCAAGTGCATTCAACCAAGCGAGCGATCCCAGTCCGAGGCCATGCAAACAACCTAGAAAAAATGACCTCGTGTCGCAACCAGTTATGTTGGCTGTGCTTGGTGCCTTTCCGAGTGCATTTCCTAATTACATGCACTAATGCTAATAAAAGAACGATTGATTTATCACTACAGTCAAGTTTTTTCCTACAATAGAGCCCGCAAATGGTTTTCAACTTTGAAATGAGTTGCGCATTTCGACTTGCACAGCATACGAGGCTTCCATGGCCGTCGGGCGGTCCTCGGGCTTGAGCGCCATGCAGCAGCTGCCGAGGTCGCGGTACCAGCGTGGGCAGCTCTCGGAAAACGACGGGCGGAGCTCCCCGGTCATGACTTTGGCCATGATGGCCGTGTCCGTGTACGGGCGCCCGCTGCCGTTGACCTTGTCGGCGTACGGTAACTGGTGCGTGTCGAGCTCCGAGAGAATGACGCCGAACGAAAACATGTCGGCCGACTCGGCGTAGTGACCTTCCTGAAGCACCTCGGGCGCCATCCAGCGGTACGTGCCAATGCCGGCCGTCATGGTCGCGTCATCCATTTCGCGGGCAATACCAAAGTCGGTGAGCTTGGCGTGCAGATCGTCGGTCAAGAGGACGTTGCGGGATTTCAGGTCGCGGTGAATGACCTTGTGCTCGAGCGTATGAAGGTACACGAGGCCCTGGAGGATGTCGTAGGCCAGCTGGAGCTTTTCGTGCCACGAGACGGACGCGGTCGAGGTGCCCTGGAGGAAGTTGCGAAGGTCGCCTGCCTCGAGGAACTCGGTCACGAGCATGATGTCGCTGGGACGGAGCCACGAAGCACCGATGAACTGTACAATGTAGGGCGACTCCATCCTAATCACAAAGGATGAGAATCCACAGTTGGTTGAAGGGTCGCGTACTTGGCCAGAAGCTTGATTTCCGCAATGAACTTTGGCAGCTCGACGCGCGCGTTGTCATTGGGCAAAAGCTTCTTGACCGCCACGCGCATGCCTTGGTACGACGCGAGAAGCACTTCTCCGTACGCGCCTTGCGCAATCGGCTTGATGATGGTGAGCTGCGCGTGGCTGATGCGGTACATGTCCAGGTCCGAGACATCAAAGTCGGCCGATGCACCCGACACAGCAGACGTGTTGGTCGACGAAGCGTGCGAGCGCGACGAGATGGGCTGCACCACCGGGATGTACTGTGTTGTTGGTGGCTGGTAGGCTTGCTGTTGCTGCTGGTACATGGTCGACGCCTGCGTGGACAGCTGGTATCCTTGCTGATTGTACGCTTGCTGCGTCGGTACTTGCACGTGGTACTGCACCGCCGGCACGAGACCGGGCTGGTTGTACGCAGCAGCGTTCGTCGTCGCGCCCGAGAGACCGGGAATCGCGATGGATGTGTCTTTGCGCTTGCAAACGCACACGATGACCGCAATCATGATGAGCACGATGGCAACACCTATGATGATAAACATCGTCGACACCGAGCTTGCCACCTTGTTGAACGAGTCGCTCGGATCCGCGCCCACAACGCTTGACGGGCGCCATGATGTTGGCGACGGTGTCAACGTGATCATGACTGCCGAGTTGTTGACGCAGTACGAATACACGGCTGACCGCGTCGTGGCCGAGCAAGTGTCGCTCTGCGGCTCGCACGCCCCCGTCGTCTTGTACATGCAGGGCCGATCGCCGCTGCAGGGACACGTAAGGCGCGAGTCGTAGCAGAGCGTTTTGTTTTGGCAGCGCGCAGTGAAGGCGTTGCAGAAGGGCCGGCCGCGGCCGTCGTGCTGGGCCACGTCGCCGGCGAGGCAGCGGTCGCGGATCGCGTCGTAGCACGGAAAGGTCGCGTTGCAGACGACGGGCAGCTCGGAATCGAGGCTTCCGTCAAGCGCGGCGGCGACCGCGCTCCATACTAGCAGTAGTAGCACGGCGATGCGGCGACGATGTTGCATCTCGGGTTCTGCCTGCTGGCGCTCGATGTGGGTGCATGTCCCGGCCTGTCTATTTGCACTGTATTTTTCAAGTCCGGCATCTGGACCGGGACCAGCGTTTAGAAACACTGGCTTCTGAAACAGAGTATAGCTTTGGAGTGGCCTTGATTGACATTCCTGTTTCGGGTTCTCGTCGTGATTCGCAAACGCTTACGTGCAACCTTTATTGTCAGTGGCTCAATGCGCGGTGGCTACGCAGGCGGCTCGTGTGCTTCTCCTGTCGCAAGGGTGACCGTGCTTGTTTTACAGGACGCTGCAGTCGGGATACGTGGATGCACGCTCAATTTCATAGCACGGCCTGCCCTCTTGACCTTGTTCCGCATGTCGAGCTCCACTGTAGCTACTAGCTTTGTTTCGCGATAGGTTCGAAGCGTTGGTTGGTGCACGACTCCGCACAAGAGTTGCAGACTCGTGTTGAAAATGAATTAGCGGTCACCACCAACTGAGTGCATTGTTCGGGATACATCGTCCGAAGAAAGAAGAGTTCAAAGATAGACCAATCGGTCGGTTGCGTGAAGCCAGGCTTTTTCGACGGCGGTTTCTTCGTTTTACCAAAAGTCGAATGCGCGCTCTGTGGCTCAGCTGGGTGACCACGGTCGCCGCCCTCCACCATGGCGGCTGGACGCGCCTCGGTCGCGCGGACAGCGGCGCGTCCTTGGATTTACGCTTCGCTCTCCGTCCAGCGCAACCGGATGCTCTGGCGGCGCAACTGGCAGCTATCTCGGACGTGCACTCGCCTGCGTTTGGCAAGTACATGTCGTCGACAGACCTCCGAGACCTCGTGGCGCCAAGCGTTGCGGCCTTGACTGCTCTCGATGCGCTCTTAGATGGCTTCAATGCGACAACGACCGGCCACGGCGACTACGTGCGCGTGACGCTGCCAGTCGCGGCGGCGGAAGACCTCTTCGCCACCGAGCTGCACGAGTACAAACGTGGTGACCGCCGCGTCGTTCGTCCGTTCGGCGCCTACGCCGTGCCAGCTTCGATTCGGGACCACGTACTGCTCGTCGACGGCCTCGAGCACTTTCCGACGGCCTTTCGACGACAGTCGGCGACGCGAACCACCGCCAGCATCGATGGCGGCATCTCGATCAGCGCAATCCAGCAGCAGTACGGACTCCCCACGGACCGCGCCGCCACGGATGTGCGCAACCGACTCGTCGTCGGCGCCTTTCTAAAAGAGGCCTACCGCGCGTCGGACCTCCGCTCGTACTATGCGCGTAAAGACAAATGCTTCGTTCGTCTTGCATCACATTGGTTGCTAGGGAACCACGTGGCTTCGAGCGCGCTGCCAAAGAGCGTGCAGTGCACTGGCAATGGTGGCGACGACGCGCCGGCCACGGGCGAAGCGTCACTCGACGTTCAGCTCGTCATGGGGCTGACGGCCAACGCCGAGACGTCGGTGTTCTGCTACAACTCTTACCGCGATGCGACGCGGCCGTTTAGCGACGACAATCAAGAGCCCTTTGTGACGTTCATGCACGATATCAACGCCATGGAGCCGGCGCCGTCCGTGGTGTCGATCAGGTGCGCACTAGCTACGCGTTTGGGGTACGATTGTTGTGCGACTAGCTATGCTGACGACGAGTGCGCGGTGCCACCGGCCTACATTGCAGCACTGGATGCCGAATTCATCAAAGCGGGCCTTCGAGGCACCACTGTCGTCGTGGCCAGCGGGGACAACGGTGTCGTTGGAAGCACACTCATCTCGTTTTGCGGTCGGTCGACGTGTGCTCGCTTTGAGGTGCGACGACGACATTGGCATTCCACTGTTCTGATGTACCACCTCGGTAGACAGGGTATCCGGCGTCGTCGCCGTATGTGCTTTCGGTCGGCGGCACGCAGCTGCTTGAAGATGTTGAGGACGACGGCAAGCATCGCCAAGAAGAAGTCGTGTCGACAGACACGAACGGCGCCATCACGTCTGGAAGCGGCTTCAGCTGGTACGCCTCCCGACCTTCGTATCAGGTACTAGAATCGATATGCGAATTCGGCTGGATTGCAAATTGGCGCAGGACAACGTTGTTCAAGCGTACAACTTGAAGGAAAATCTCGATGAAAGTACAGCAATGTACAACGGCGACGGCCGCGTCTTCCCTGACGGTGCCAGACGCACACCCGCGCCGTACTCAAACTCCTCCTTTGCTAGTCGTCGCCATCGGACACAACGTCCCCATCGTTGTTGACAATATGGTCGAATGGACGGACGGCACGTCGGCGTCGGCGCCCATCGTTGCAGCACTCCTCAATCAAGTCAACAAAGACCGTCTTCTGCGCAACCTACCGCTACTGGGCTTTGTCAATCCGTATTTGTACAAGGTGCTGTCGTGTTCTCTGCCTCAGGACGATGAGAGCCGTTGCGTGTAGCTCTTCGACGTCTGCCCACATATTTTTCGAGACATTTCTGTCGGCAACAACAAATGCGGTGGCCATGGCCAAGATTGTTGCGACTCTGGCTTCTCGGCGGGGTCCGGGTGGGACCCGCTTACTGGTGCGTTGCACAGCTTGCACTCTCTCTGCTCAACACAAATCTAGGACTTGGAGCAATTCAATACGACCGATTCGTTGAGGACATGATTGCCTGTGAGGCTCGCATGCACGAGAAGGCTCCACTAGTACTTGTCTCGAGTGGCGAGCGGTATGCCTGACGACGAGGTCCAAGTTGCTGGAGCGAAACATTGTTTGTAGGGGAGACGTGACGTTGTATGTGGCCGGAGGCGTCGTGCTGCTCGCAACAGGTCTTGCGCTCCTGACGATGCGAGGCCGCCGGCCCGTTATGGAGGATAGCATCCATCTCGGATACAAGCTCGTCGACTAACGCTAGCTTATACATCTGCATTTCTGTCTGTCATCGCCACTGCTACATGTTTCGGTCGAGCCATGTGCGAACAGCCGCAATGCAGGTCGGGCCGTCTACGTGCGAATCGCGTGAACAAAAATTCGCCACAAACCAATTTGTGTACCCATCGCATCGTGCTTCTCGAGCCACGGCGAGTAGAGCAGCTCGTCGGCCGACGCGCGGTGGCGAATCTAAACCAGCGTTAGAGAGCAGCGCTTTCTCGGACATCCATACGTCTCGGTGCAAGCAGCCGTCGATAAACTCGCGAAATTCGTCGGAAAATTCTACAGCGCCATTGCGTCGACGCTCGCTTATGTATATGGGGGTACCGTCGGGGGACAACGAAGGCGTTGTCGCTTCGATGATCGACTGCACAATCTACGAGACCGTCATTTGCGTCGTACCAAGAGACGCATACGTCAATGTAGCTCGAGCAGTTCTCGAACGGGTAGCGTCCGGTCGCCGACTCGACAAGAACCAGACCCAAGCTCCATATATCGCACGTGTAGCTACGATGCATTTTAGAAGTCGTGCACAATATCAGAGCAAGAATAACTCGTAAGGCTGGTTTTGGATGCGCTCGGGGGACATGTACTTGAATGTGCCCACAAACGTGTTTGCCATGTCGAATGTGCCCGATAGCTCGCGCGCGAGACCTAATCCTGCATCGTAACAATGGACATACCGCCAACAAATAGACCGAAATCCGTTAGCTTCACATGGCCGTCGCTCGTCACGAGGATATTCTGGGGCTTGACGTCCTAGGCTCGTGGCGAATGAGGCGCTGGTAGCTTGAGCACCGGGGTAGTACGCGGTGGAAATGACGATGTTCTTTTAGATGTTGTAGCCCGCTAAGGATTTGGAACGTCATGCAAGCTAGAATGGCCTCGGGAATGCGCCCAATCTGCCAAAACAGTTCATTTGACCCAATGAGACAGACGACTCTGACCTTTTTGACAACATTGTCGAGGGATCCACAGTCGCAAAACTGCAAGATCAAGCTCAGAGCGTGGTCCTTGAAGTACGCCCCATAAAAGTCCACAAGCCTAGACATATAAGAGACACGACGACACAGTGGACGCTTACCAGGGAGTCTTGAGACTGTACAGAGTTTGGATCTCGGTGAATATCTGGTTGCGCTGGCTTTTATCGTAGACGTTGTTGACAGTCTAACAAGACTTTGCGCACGAGAAACCTCGACTGAGAGTTCCTGCACCTTGATCGCGTAGAACGCGTTGGTCTCGGGGTCGTGCGCCTTGATGACGTTGCCGCTGCATCCGCGACCCAAGAGGCTGACGTGCACAAGCCGGTGGTGGTCAACACCGCTCACCTACAAGACCGAAATGAGACTCGACCTTTGCTCAAGTATGTACATACCTTGAAGATCGGTGATGTGTCATCACGTCGACCCATCCGAACGCCGTCGCTGTGCTGGAGCTGGCTCAGGAAAAAAGTCATTCGGTGGCAAGGACGTTCAGGTCGACGAAAGGATATGTTGATCGAGAGCGACCCTTTCCGAAACGTTGTTTCGCCAATGTCGCAAGAGATCTCAAGCTCGTCCTTCTCCTCGTGGATTGCATCGTCATCGTCGTGCTTGCCGTCATGCACGTCGAGACGCAGCGGCTTTCGCGGTCGGCGCGCCCCCATGCTTGAGCGTTTCGCGATATCCCAAATCCAGAATCATGGATTTCAGAAAGTTTGTTAAGGCGTGAAGTCCACTAAGATTGGCATTTCTTTATTCGAGTAATTTATGCTTAATACACCCTACGCGCATAGTTGTAGTCTGGCACTAAATGACGCAGCTTTCGTAGGTCGGGATCATGTACCTAAGACCAAAACGTCTTGAGCCGCAACGCTTTCGACGCACAAGACTCACTTGATGTTGACAAAGGCGTCTTCGCCGCCATGGCGCTCCATAATGTACAAAGTCTCGGTGATGAGGTCGCCGAGGTTGTCGTTGCGCTGCTGGCCATAGTCGATCGCGTCGCCGCAGTTGACTACACCACATCGAACAACTAGGTCGTTGGCTGTATCGTACCGCGCTTGGTGATGAAAAGGTTGAATATCGTCAAGAGTTGCCGGTAGTAGGGCACGAGAGCCTCGCCGGCGTAGGGGCAGAGCAGCACGAGTTTCTGGAGGACCTTCATCTGCGTACAGAGGATCTGTGGCTGGCGCGTCATGAGATTCTGCTTCATAGGCAGAATCAAGTGCGGAATGGACGTGAGCGACCGGTCCCCGCCTTTCTCGAGCAAATCCAGCGTGCCGTTGAGCGCCAAAAACTTGTATGGCTCGTCGAGCTCACGGAGGCCCTCGATGAAGAGCGGCAGGTAGTGCGTGTAGTCGAGCGTTGTTATGTCCACTTGCCTAGTCCACGTATGACGCATATCGTATGACGCAACCTTGCTAACGCACCATTGCACCTTGCGCACGGCCCCGTTGAAGTTGATGCGCAGCGGGAGATCGCCCCGGTCGTCTACGGATCTCGTCAATCTTGGGTCTGTGAGTAATGATTGGGTTCGTACAAAAGTAGCGGAACTTGGTCTTCTCAATCGCCCGCGCTTTGTAGGCATTGATGCTCTTGGGTGGCGACTTGGGGGCCACGTTCTGGTTGGAGGTGGCTGCCTTGACGCGGTTGGCGCTGCTCACAGTGTTCTTCTGAAGCTCCTTGAGCCGGCCACTCGACCGAGCAAACTGGTCTTCCTTCTTGGACGACTTGGTCTCAGGCTTGGCGTTTCCGGGGACCTTCTTCGCCGGCGCCTTTGTCTCGGCCCGCCGCCGGTCCATCGCAAAACGAATTCCGACTGGCGCCGTTTGAGTCGCCGGGCTAAAAATAGAGGCATCCGGATATCTTGCGGACAATATGTCCAACAACGGCCGCCGTGCGCAAGTCCACGCCGGGATCGCACCACGTCCGACTTCCGTGGGACGACCTCTCCGAGCATGGGCATTCTCAAGTGGCAAATCGGCGCACGGGCGGCTCAACGGGCGTTCGCAACGCGCTCATTGAAGTTGACGTTTTCACATAGCCCCCCTACCCAATGGCCAAATTTGGGTACTCTCAATTCGCTATTGCACACGCGTGTTCGGCGAGCGCGATGGAGGAGGAATGGATCCCGAACGACGAGGACATTGAGACGATCTTTAGCATGGACCAGGGGCTCCTGGGCATGGAGGTACTACCGGCCTCATCTTTCTCTTGGCTCATGCATCGACGTAGGAACCGTCCAAGAAGCGAACGCGGCCCGACGACGGCTCAGACGACGGCGCCTCGAGCAGCGACGATGACGGCGCGGACCTCGAAATGGAGATGGAGCGGCAGATGCAGAGTCAGGTCCAAGACGTGCACGCGATCCGGCGGCTAAAGCACCGCATCATCTCGCGCAAGTCGCGCGCCAAGAAGAAGCGCGACATGGAGGCGCTGCAGGTGCAGGTGCACGAACTCGAGGCGACCGTGAAGCGGCTGCAGGCGTCGTCCTCGGTCGCTCTCGTCTCAAACGCCACGGACCGCAAGACCGCGTACCTGCGCCTGTTTGCGGAGGCCGATCGGCTGCGCGAAGAGAACCGGAACCTCAAGCTCGCGATCGAAAAGCACGTCGGGTTTGCCAACTCGGTGCAGTCGTCGATCGCGGCCGTCGAAAAGTGGGAGAAAGAAAACATTGTGCTCGCCGCGCTCTGCGACTTTGTCGTATTCCACGCGCTCTCGCCCGTCCAGTTTGAGTGTCTCCGCCAGAAGACGCTCGCCGAGTGCGCGAGCTTGACCGTCGCCGCCGACGCACCCCAGCGCTTCCAGGGCTGGGAGGACTTTCGGCGCACAGACTTTCCGCCGCCGAGCGCGCCACACCAGCAATCCAGCGCCGTCCCGTCTCGCGCGTCGTGGGTCTCGTCCAAGGTCCTATCGCTACCGCCGGGAACAACGCTGCAGACAATCGCTGACAAGACGTGGCGTATCTACCAAAAGAAGGCAGCGTGTGAGCGCCTCCTGCCATATCTGCGCAAGCTCGAGGTAGAGGTTCGCGAAATGGTAAGGTTGTCAGCGGTCGCTAGGTGCTGCAAACCGTCAACGACGACGCATTCGTGTGTCGACGGGATCTGCTTTTCCCGCACGCAAAGACCCAGCGCGTGCACTATACGACTCTGCTTGTGCTCCGGGCGTCACATGCCGTACGAGAATGGCTTGGTACCGGTACCTGACCACCGCTTTCATTTGCGTAGGATGGCCGGGTTACGTTCTCGGTCAAGACTATGGACAACCCGATCACCGACTCGGCCCTTGGCGATTCGGAAGCTTGGCTCCATGAGTGTGTCGAGTACGAGACGTCCTTCCCGAGTCGTATGCTCTATGGTGGTTTAGGCTCACACTTTCGCCCGTGCCCAACGGCGCATGTCATGTGCGTTGCCGAGGGTTTCAGGACAACGCAATGGTGTCGTATGCCAAGCCGGCGCTCGTCGAGCTCCTCGCCGTGCTCTTGCGCTGGGAAGCGTATGTACTCGAGCCAGATGAGGAGACGCAACGGTAAAGATACAAACGCGTGTTTCGTCCCCAAGAAATGCCCAGTGTACATGCAGAAAACAACTTTGCTTCATGCCGTGGCGTCTTCGTCGTCCGACGTGTACGAGAGGCGCACATCGATGTCGTCCATCTGCACCTCGGAGGCCATCACAATGGGCGCATCGGCCACGACCTTGAGCATCCCGAGCGCGTGCAACGCCTTGAGCTTGGTGCGCGCGCGGCGCCATTTGGCTTGGACCTATGTCATGCCCGTGAGTCGAAAGATATGCGACATGAGGTTTTGGATACCGTGAGGTTGGCGTGGATGCGGAAGCACTCCATAAACTCGTTGATGTTGATCTCGTTGTCGTGGCTGAAGTCGACCGAGCGCATGAGCTCTTCGGCCTTCGTGAAGGGCTTGACGTTGGGCGGCAGGTGCGCGTTGAGGATGTCGATGCCCGCCTTGAACTCGTCCAGGCTGATCGTGCCGTTGCCGTCCTTGTCAAAGACCTGGAAGAGCGCTTCGAGCCGCTTGCGGTAGCGATACATGTTGTTAAACATGCCACGGCGGTCGTCCTAATGCAACTTAGTGATGGTGCAGACTTGGGACAATGCGTACCGAGACGACTTCATCAGGTTTGGTCTGGCCAGCCGTCTGGTACCGGTCGAGGAACTGCTCGTAGTTGATCATCGAGTTGGCATCCATGGACGTGAGAAGTGGCCGAATTGCTTGCCAGTTGAGCTTCATGTGCAGCTCGTCCTCCATGATCTGCATCCATGTCGGTAGCGACACTAACGTGGTCTGCGTCGGGTCCGCATCCTGGAACCGCTTGAGCAGTTCATCACGGTGCGTGATGATGACGCTGAAAAGACCCTCAAGGTTGGAGGCGACAATGTCCGTCTCGGACGCTGTGGCCATGTACTGGAAGAATGACGGCTTGGCGTTCATCGACTGCGGAATGCGCATAAAGCAGCCCATGTTGTTGGCAGCGCCGCAATAGTTGCTCGCAGAGAATAGCGTCACGAGCATCCCTGTCCAACATCAGTCACATCGTGGCACGTTCAAGGTGTAGGCAAACCTTTCGCGGCATACGGCCAGTCAAAGCCCTTTGGGACGCACTCGTGCGATCGAATGATAAGCTCGAGGCGGTTCTTGACCATAAATTTATACACGTGGTCGGGGCCATAGTTGATGCCTAGATACATCACCACGTTCTTTGGACAAACCATGAACCAGACAAGTCGTACCAGCGCCACGGGCATTTTCCTTCCAGCCCGGTGCCGTCGCGGGGTCGCTCCAAAGGATGTCTTTGACCTTGCGCATGTGCTTGAACATCTTCTTGTCTTCCTTGGTGCGGCCCACGTCGCGGTACTTGCCGAGGTCATAGTACTGGCGCGGCAGCGTCTGCATCTCGTCGAGAGTGATGCCCTCCCGCGTGATACCGCCATGCAAGATCAAAATGCGCTTGTCGAGGACTGTCGCTAGCTACGAGATAGGTAAGGCACGTAACTAGACGCGAATGACGACGAACCGGCAACCACTTGAAGACGACGCAGTACATCGAGTAGACTTCCTGGTCGTACTTGGCGACGCATTCCTACTCAACTTGGTAATGAAGGAATCGGATGCGACGAATACCTTCATGAAGCCAAACACCTCTGTGATGGACCTACGACGTCGAGAGAGTTTAGAAGGACGACGATGGAACGAGCCTCCAACTTGTCTTCGTGATTGCCGCGGTTGATGTGCACAGCGTCCGGGTAGACGATCATCCAAATGAGAATGATGAGCGAGACCTCAACGGACCGATTGCCGCGGTCCACGATGTCGCCGTTAAAGACATACGGGTTCTCGGGCGACGGGTATCCATTTTCGCGGAGGATCAACATGAGGTCGTCAAGCTGCCCATGCAAGTCGCTAACCACCACGATGTAAGATGCTTCGACATTTGAAGGGGGCTCACCCGATGATGGTCATGTGGGGCGCGGGCGCAATCGAAAGGTGCGTCACGTTCGGCTTGCGTTGGAGTCGCTCGAGCACCGTGTGGAGGATCTGCAGCACGTAGGTCTTATGCAGCTTCTGGCCGCGTTTGAAGCTCTCGACAAGCGCGACAGCGTCCTATGCCATGTGATGACAAAGACATCCTCGCGCACAGGGTCTACTTCGCGAGTGATGGGGTCGTGCAATCGTACGCCCTCGTAGAGTTCTGTTATGTCGATCTTGGAGGCCGGCTGCGTCGAGAGACCGAACGAAAGATTGGGCACCTCATCCGGCGGCGCGCCGAGGTCGGCATCATTGTCATTCACACCGGGCATGTATTCATGCAGGGCGCGCAGGAACGACGACAACTCGACCTATCCAAGGCAAAGCTGAGCCAGTGTCTAGTAGGCAGCTATGGACATACCACATCGGCCTCTTCTCTGTTTTCGAGATCGTTGAAGAGCTACAGATTGCTCCTGTCAATGAACGCACCAGTATCGTCTCGTACCTTCCATTGGCTGCTGGAGAAGACTTCGTCATCCGTCAGCGTGGACGACTCCGAGTCTACGTCGCTGCCACGTCCAGCAGCTTGCGGTGTCGTCGGCTTGGCCGCAGGCGACGAGGGCGTGGCCGAAGGCGACGCGGGTGGCTTAGCCGCAGGCGACGCGGGTGGCTTGGCCGCAGGCGACTGCAGCTGCGACGGTGGTGCTGTGGACGGAGCCATCGGAGGTTGGCCCTTCGTCCCGCGCTTCTTGGCTGTCGACGACGTCGTGCCCATGGTGCTGTCCCGTCGGTTGCGGAAGAAAGGTGACAATCCACCCGCAGCCTTCTTTTCTTCCCGAAAGGTTGAGCCATGCGTCCGGATACAAGCCCTGTGCTTTCTATCCGGACGATCCGGGCATGTGCAACGCCTGGTTCCATCGGCGCAAGCACAGCCGCGGCTTGGAGGCGAGCGTGCGAGCATGGCGCCGCGTACATCTGCAGAGCGTAGTCGCGCGACGTAGCGAGAAGGAAAGTGGGACGCCGCATGCGAGTGCATGGAAGGTACACACGTGTATATTGGTCGACGATTGGACAAGTAAGGCCTTTATGCCACGTCAGCGCGCACTGCAGGCTTGAGCATGCCGAGGTGGTGCATGGCTTTGAGCTTGGTGCGGGCGCGGCGCCACTTGGCCTGGACGGTGAGGTTGGCGTGGAGGCGGAATGACTCCATGAACTCGTTGATGTTGACGCGGTTGTCGTGACTAAAGTCAATGGCGCGCAGGAGCTCGTCCGGGTGGTCGAATGGCAATATATCCTTCGGGAGGTGTTGGTTGAGGATCGCGAGGCCGGCTTGGAATTCGTCGAGCGTGATGACACCGTTGCCGTCGCGGTCGAGCGCGTGGAAGAGCGCTTCGATGCGGTATCGGTGCCGGTACAGCGAGTTGAACGCCTGGCGCTTCGCCGGCGTTGCGTCGGCCGTCGACGACTGGTAGCGATCGAGGAACGCAATGTAGGCCACGTTCCCGTGGTCCACCGATGTCACGAGTGGCAGGAGCTTTGCCCAGTCCAAGCCCATGTGCAGGACGTCTTCCACGACACGCTGCCACGTGTCCACGGACACGAGCCCTCGATTACTCGCGTCCTCGGCTTCAAATGCCGTGCGCAGCTCGTCCCGATGCGAGAGGATGACAGAGTAGAGGCCGTCGAGGTTGCCGCCTACAAAATCGTGCTCCGACGCCGTCGCCCGGTACCGGTGGAACATCGGCGGCTCAGTTGCGTCGGCAGAGAGGTGCATGAAGGCGCCGGCGTTGCCCGCACGTGTGTAGTTCGAGGCCGAGAAGAGCGTCACGAGCGGCGTCTGCTCCCCAAAGGGCCACGCAAAGCCGTTGGGCACGCACTCGTGCGACCGCACGATAAGCGCGAGCGAGTTGGTCGCGAGGAAGTCCTTGACGAGGTCCGGGCCGTACTGGATGCCCGCGCCGCGGAAGCTCTCTTTCCAGCCGCGTTCCGGCTGCGGGTCGCTCCAGAGAATGTCGCAAACCGACTGCATCGCTTGGTCGGGAGGTGACAGCGTTCCTTTCAAAGACCGATTTGTGTGCTTGGTGCCAAAGAAATCGGCGCGAGGAATGGCGTCCCAATCGGCGAGGAGCGGGTGCCAGCGCGGAAGGCCGCCGTGCAAGACGAGAACGCGGTCGTCGAGGACCGTCGCGATCTACGCACACATGAAATGACGGAGCCGACGTGGGCAATCTACCGGGAGATGCTGAAAGCAGAGCGAAAAGAGGTCGTAAACCTCAACGTCGTACTTGGCAAGACATTCCTATACGTGAATGTAGTAATTCAGCGCCTAAGACAGGCCAAACCTTCTTGAAGCCAAAGCGCTCGTTGACCGACTCGTCTTCATGATTGCCGCGGTTCAAGAAGACGTGGCGCGGGTAGAGCACAAAGAGGCTCAGCAAAAGGAGTACGACTTCGATCGATGACGCACCGCGGTCGACAAAGTCGCCGTTAAAGATGTACGGGTTGGTCGCCGACGGAAGGCCGTTCTCGCGAAGGATCAAAAGCAAGTCGTCGAGCTGTCCGTGAAGGTCCCTATGGTCGTGCTGGTATACTCATCTCGTTAACGGCCACGAACCCAATGATTGTGATGTGCTTGGCCGGTGCGATCGACACGCGCTGCACGTTCGGAAGTGCTTGGAGCAGCCGCGTGGCGTCGCCAAGGATTTGAACCACATACGATCGGTGGAGGCATGCCGCGCGCTTGTAGCTTCCAATGAGGTCGCGCACGTTCTAGAGGCAATGAGGACCAACGCGCGATATTGGTTGGAATGCAGTGGCTACCGCAAGCGACAGCGGCTGGTCCAGATGCACGCCCTTGTACATGTCGGAAATATCAATTGGGCCAATGTGCTCGTCGGATGAAATGAGTTTCTGAAGCGTCGGCTTGGCGCTTGTCGTCGTCGCAGAGGCAGGCATGTGGTCGTGCAGTGCGTGCAGGAAGCGCGAGAGTTGAAGCTACTGCGGTATGACGTACGTTCAAGAGACGCAATGCTGCGTACCACATCGGCCTCTTCGCGGTTCTCGAGGTCGTTGAAGAGCTATTTGAACGCATCAGGCGGCGCTAGACTACAAGGCTGGACGCACCTTCCACTGTTCGATGATTTCTTCCTGGTCTGGCGGGCTCTCAGGCGTCGCGGCCTCGTTGCTGGGTACGATCTTTTCAGTCGTCTCCTTTGCTTTACTAGCGACCGGCTTGTCGCCGACGGACTTGGACCGCGCGGGCTTGCCTTGCTTGTTGCCCATGTGCTCGACGCTGGCGACTGGCGACGGCAAAGTAGATATGACATTTGATGCTGGGTCCCGCAGTATCCGGATGCCTCTACATACATATGTCCAGTGAAAGTGCATTTAACTGTTAGGTGCGCGAGTGCAGTATTCAGCTTGTGGCTTGGTCCAGTACAGTACTATGCACCTGGTCGGCTTATATAATAGATGCACCAATGGAATCGAGAGAACTTGAAACGCGCGCACATAGACTAGTGCAACATTCGGTGTCATGAGTCTGTGTGTAACCGGATTTTTGCTTCGGCCACATCAATCATCTCAAGTGATCGTCGATCCTACGTTATGCTGTTGGAGTTGGTACAGCTGATCTAGCCACCATGCGGGGCCCAGAAAGACATTCATGTACAACCGCACTAGGGCCTTCATCGTCAGATCTTACGTGTTGTTTGGTTGATGCCTGTATCCATCTCTCAATAATACACCACTCGAGCAACCGACTGGTTTGAATCTCTGCGGCATCTGCCGAATATAACATCCCTGAAGCGGCACGCGTTTCACATGAAACGACCATCTCATGGCGGCTATTTCCATCGGTCACTGGCCAACGCGAAAGTACAACAACGCCCGAGGCGAGATGGGGGGCGGCTCTTCGACGCAGCAGCGCCAGATGCTGCAGCTTCAGGAAGCGCTGCAGGCTAAGGAAGCCGAGGTCGCCAAGCTGCGCGAGCTCACAAAGGAACTTGACGCCGCCAAGGCTGCCAAAGAAAGTGAAGTCGGCCGCGCAGTGCGAGTCTCCAACGCCGTGTCCATTGATGTAACGCGGTCCCAGAAGAGCCACAAGTCGTTTGCAATTGTCTCGTTGCCCAAGCCCGCGGACGCGTCACCCATGAAGCGACGCGTCGAAGTGAGTGCCGAGATCATCATGACCAAGAAAGTCGCGGGCTTTGAGAAAACGGTGTTTCCCAAGTCGGACGCGTCGCGCGAGCTGATACTCAAGGTACTACGTGCTCGCGTACTTGTGATGCTAGTATATCTCTAGGTCATCCAGCAAAATATCTTATTCAACGGGCTATCGCTCGGGGAACAAAACGACTGCGTCGACGCCTTCATGTGCGTCGAGAAGCCGCCCGGCGTCGAGGTGCGTTGCTAACGATGTGTACCAAGTTGTGAGACCGTGCTGGATGCAGGTCATCACTCAGGGCGACCAAGGCGACCACTTTTACGTCGTCCAGTCGGGTACGGCAACGAGTGAAACCAGCTTACTGACTGCGTTTCTATAGGCACACTTGACATTCTTGTGTCGCTCAAAGGCAACGCGCCCATCAAGTTTGGTCAAATGGCGCCAGGCATGGGCTTTGGCGAGTTGGCGCTTCTTTGCAATACACCGCGCGCCGCGACAATCAAGTCGACGACGCCTGTTGTGCTCTGGGCGCTGGACCGCCTCGTCTTCCGCAACATCTGCACGTACCACGAGAGCATTCGGCACGAGAAGGCGTTCCAATTTCTGCGCCAAGTGTCGGTCTTTGACAAACTCTCGTCGGCCGAGCTCACTCGCGTGGCGGCGGCGATGCAGTGGGAGGAGTACTCGCCCGACACGGTGCTTTTGCGCGAAGGCGAAGTCGGGGACTACTTTTACCTCATCACATCCGGCGAAGTGTGCGTGAGCAAGCGCAACGCCGAGATGCAGGACGACGAGGTGCTGCGGTACCTCACCGTCGGAGAGCATTTTGGCGAGATGGCGCTCTTCAAGGACGAGACGCGGTCCGCAACGTGCACGAGCACCTCGGCCGTGCAGCTACTAACGCTCGCACGGGAGCACTTTTGCGCGCTCCTCGGGTCTCTCCAGGTCGAACATTCCTCAGAAAGTGGCCAAGCTTATAATGGTGTAGGAGCTTATGGAGCGGTCGGAGCAACCACAGCCGCCACCGAAAAAGAACTCGCTTGCAGTCGAGAGTCGGTCGTCCATCAAGTACGCGGTCGACGTCGACCTTGCGGATCTCGAGATCATGCAGACGCTTGGCAGCGGCGCGTTCAGGCGCGTCAAGCTCGTGCAGCACCGCCCGTCGCACCAAACGTTTGCGCTCAAGTGCCTCGTCAAGTCGCATATCGTGGCCAACAACCTCAAGGAGCACGTCGTGAACGAGAAGCGCGTCATGATGATGCTTGACCACCCGTTCATCCTCAAGCTCCACCACACGTACAAAGATGCCATGTACGTGTACTTTCTGCTCGAGCTCGCGCTCGGCGGCGAGCTCTTTACGTTCTTGCGCCGGCGCGAAAAGTTTGACGAGGCGAGTGCGCGCTTCTACATCGCGTCTGTCGTTCTTGCATTCGAGCACATGCACACCAAGTCGATTGCGTACCGCGATCTCAAGCCCGAGAACCTCATTCTCGACGCGCGCGGGTTTCTAAAAGTATCGACAGATCGTGTGAATGTGGCACCTAACCCAACGAATAGGTCGTGGACTTTGGTCTTGCTAAAGTCGTGAACGACCGAACGTGGACGCTCTGCGGGACACCAGACTACTTGGCCCCCGAGATCATTCTCAACCGTGGCCACGACAAGGCCGTCGACTACTGGGCGCTGGGGATTCTCATCTACGAACTCATTGCCGGCACCGTGCCGTTCTACGCCGACGACCCCATGCAAGTCTACTCGCTCGTGCTCACGGGCAATATCAAGTTCCCCGTCTCGTTCGGGTACGCATCGCAGTTTGTGAGATCCAATCTTATACTTCATCGGTAGCCGTACGAGCGTCGATTTGATCCAGAAACTTCTGACGCAAAACCCGGTTCGACGACTTGGTAACTTGAAGCACGGCGTCCACGACATTATGAACCACCGGTGGTTCTCGGGATACGACTGGGACGGTCTCCTAAAGCAACGACTTACGCCGCCGATCGTGCCGCAACTCAAGTCCAACGTTGACGCGTCGTACTTTGAACGAATAGGCGAAGAGAATTTTGAAGCCGAGCCCTGTAGTTGGGATCCCGACTTTTAGAGTAGAAGGCAGATGTGTGTAGACAGAATATAACCGAATCATAAGTTGCGTCGTACTCGTCGGTGTCGCCGACGCAGACGGACGTGCACAGTTGCCTGCACCAGCCACCAGCGCTCTCGGCCGTTGGCGGGCTCCATTGATCTGAGCAGCACGCATGTGGTGTTATACGAGTGTATGGTATCTGCCTTGGGTAGGTTGTTGCCAATTAGTGGGGCTACTGTGGTTCAGTCATTCTTGCAAGCGCAGTGTTAATGTATTCTGGAATCTGTTTACCAGTGCTGATACTTCGTAAATGCACGTATATTCGTTTGGGCAGTATTACTATCCTAGATTAGCGCCAGCGGATAGTTTGCGAAACTTTTGTAGGAGCTCGGCAACGCTTGCATCTGCAGGGACGTTCAACAGACTCTCAGTGCGCACTTTCGTTGGGTGGTGCTGTCGGTTGTCGAAACCTCGCTCCTAATGCGACTTTGTATCACATTTTCGGGGTGGATGCAAAAGTACTTACACGCTCAAGCAGCTTGGACGCAGCCGCATCCAGGCTGTCCGGAGTCGCTGCCAGGGACGGTGACAGCTCGGGCTTGGGTTTTGGCGGGTGGAGCAGTGAGCGCAAGGCGGTAGCCGGCATGCCGACGTTACTAGATGGAAGTCTTGGTGCTGCACTTCGCTCTGCAGAGACATTTAGCCGGAGCGATGCCGGGTCGAAATGGCGTGACGCAGACTACTTTAACGCTTTCGAGTGATCATTTCGCCATAGGCAGCAAGTAGCCCACCTGAGGACGGTGGCCAAAGGTCACAATGGGCTTCTTTGTCTGCGCGTCGAGGAGCCTACGTATCTGTTAGCTTTCTGCAGCGAAGCATGGTCCCAAACGTTGGCTTTGTGTCAGCGCTGCTGAGACGCACAGTGACCACGCCGCCGTACGCAGGAAAGAGTACTGTTTTAACTTGCGCGCTCCCTCGGTTCTAGACGCTGGGTTTACTCAGTACTTCAGGCATTGAGTAAAATACATCCGAGTGGTTGCGCGGGTGCGCTTTCGGAGGCGAAGGCGGCGGTGCATGCAGCTGCGGGTTCTATCCATCTCTCTATATAATCCAAATGAACGCGAAGTTGGCGAGTACCTTATTGAAGCGGGCGAGGCTGCTTGCGTCCGTCACCTGGCGCTCGGCGCAGAATGGGTTGTCATCATCCGCTCGAGGTATTCGCAGACGCTTCTTGGAGAGTGTTGACAGAGTCTGAGGTGCTCGACGCATTGCCCGGAGCTCCGTGAGCATGCGTTGCTCCCGCTCGATCTCGGCGTCCGTCAAAACCATCGTCTGCTCGTCTAAAATTAGTTGTAGCAATATGACGACGACCAAGCCATGCCCATTAGCAATGTCGCCGACCAAGCCCATGACACCGACCGCCAAGACGCCGGTACGTGACCCACACCCACGATGAGCTCTCTCCATTATCTGCCAATTCATCGCAGAAGGCTGTCGACCGCAGCGTGCGCACACGGAGCCAGTTCCACATCACGTTCCCATCGAAAGCGTTCCTGGACTTGGAGACGCCGGAGCCGGTAGACAACGAATTCGCATACGTTTGTGTGCAAGAAAGAATAGGTAGCGCGAACGGGATGGGCAAGCCCGAATGCAGTCCCGTACCGCCCGCTTGGGAAGCCTGATTTGCACATGAAGTTGTCGCCGAATTTACGCTCGCCGCATGTGCTGAATGAAAGCCAGCACATCCCGACAAAGAGCGCGGAGCTTCGAGCAGAGGCTTCGTATGACCTTTCTACACCTGGTCAATATCGTATCAGAGCGTCCCGTAGCACCCACTACAAGCTCGACTTTTCTAAAGAAAAAGGGGACTGCTACGCCTTGCCACAGTACTCACCGAGCCACATCAAGCATTTGCAGTGCCCACACCGCTCGACGCACGACCCATCTTTCGCAATGCTCACACAGGCGATTCACGAAGGATCTGCGCGTCGATGCTGCGTCAAGTACGGCGCGTCTGTCTTTAGTCATGTCATCGTGCCCAAGTTCGTCTGCTAACAACCAACGGAGCGTAAGATTGTTGCTGTAGAACGCCGAGCGACGTCGTCGAGCGCACAACGAGCGTCGACGAAGCGAAGCCGTACCTGCCATACACGACGCGGAAGCCTCAGGTGCCGCCGGTGCCACAGCTTCCGTCGCTCCTGGAGTTTCGGGCCAAAAACGAGTCAGAAGCACATACGCTTACCAAGACCCATGCTATGAGTGCGTCCCAAGCAATGCTCGAGAAACCTGGTATTTCCAAGGACAGCGGCACATGCTTGAATCTCACAAACGACCCCCCTCCGCGGTCCACATATGTGGCTGACCTCGCGCAGTCGTTGGAGAACATGGTTCCAACAACCCCGGGACTAGTTGCGAGCGCGAGCAGGTCAAGCTTAAACTCGTTCGTGGCATTGCACTTGCTGGGCCGAGATCCCAACAACTCGGGGGTAACCCGGTTCCCGCCCATAGAAGTAACGAGAACCCGTCGCCACATGGCATCGAGAGACTTCAGGACGTCGTGCGCGCCCGCGAGCGCACCAAGCAAGTGTTTCCCAGCAACTTCTCGTGCTTCTCCGTGCGCTTGCCAACGATCGTTGGCACAGCTTTTGCCTCAAGTTTGCGCACTTCAAGCTCCAGCGCGACCTGCCGGGGGATCTCTGTGCGATGCGTCAGCGTGCCGAAGCCGACCGCCAAGATCGCATCCACGTCGCCGTCGAGGCTTCGACATGGTTTACGGGCTTTCTCTCACTGGTGCTCAAGTACACACCTTCCAGCTCGTCGCCAGCTCCAGCGCTCCTTTTCCTCACCAATAGCATTCGAGATGTACTGTTCGCATACTGGATTCACAGACTTTTCAACATTGAGGTAGAGTGTGAACCAAGGCCACGAGTTCCAGCCCGCTCTTCTCCTGGGTCTTGTGCTTTGCCTCTACGAGAACGAGCTCGAAGCCGACGCGACGCAGGTACATTGCTGCACGTTTGATGATGACGCCAAGGGTATTGTTTGTGTTGCTTGTAGGCGGCGCTAAAGTTTCTGCGGTCGGCTGCGGGTATATCAATGGTTGACTGGGAACGCTTCTTTGAAAATGCGAGTTTGCCACCACCGATAGAAGTCGTCAATCAGCGCCAAGTACGTGAGTCATGAAATTGAAGCCTTGCTGACTCGTATTGGCACAGGCCGACTCGCAAGGCAAGGGCAAGCACATGCGCATGAAGCACTTGGTGAAGACCGCGGGCATGATGTCCCACCTTAAGGGCTCCGCCCCGAGTGACGAATAGATTGTGCCAGCTCGTAAAAAGCCAACATTGGTCGCGCAAACTGGGCAGTGTGCTTTGCAACGCACGGGCGAACATAAGTTATCGTGTTGGTAGTCGTGTATTATTACCGCGCACCCATCGCCTCGATTTCATCGTCGAGCATGCGCGCGACCAGGAGCATATATAGCTTCTCGGTTTTGGGATCAGCGTCCAAGAGCGCGTTTCGGGTGGCGTCCGAGTCGGCAGGCGTCGGTGGGTCGCAGCTCGGGCGGCGGCCAAACATGTCTTGAACGTCTGCGTGGAAGAAGGTACTCGATAGGGTCTCCCACGACTGTAAATTGAGGCTACCCTGCTTCGGGCTCCCAATCGGGCTCGTCACTCCGAGTGGCGCGTCGCTAAAGGGATCAAAAGACGCCCAAAATCCTGGCGGCGACAAGAGGGTGTGCGCCTCGTCCGGCGGCGCGCCGACGTCGATGGACAGATTGGGCTTGCCGTTGGCTTTACGCTGGAGGCTATTGCGCGGACTCGGCTTCGGCGAGCACGCCTGGCGCAACGCATCTTGGCACAAGAGCTCCAGGCGCGACGGAGCGTCGAGGTCTTCACGGCACATGAAGCGCACCAAGTCGTACAGAAGCACGCGGCGCCGAACACCCTTCTCGACGAGCATGCCTGCGATCTTCAAGTTCCTAGACAGTTTAAATTGTCTGAGGATATGCGTTCGATCGCAAAAATCACAGTACCGTCGGCAGGGCAGCCGTAGTGGGATCTGAGCACAGAGCCGCTGAATCTCTTGGTCGACATTGATGCCAAGAATGTACTGCCGGTCTTCTTCGCTCAGTGGCACCTACCGAATTTGTTTGTGCCGTGCCAAGCCAAAATTGTTGAAGCGTGTACCTTGAGCTGCGGCCAGTTGTACCAGCACCAGTCGCACCACGCAATCTACGAGCCGAGCAATCGTCCAGGTTTTGCAGTGCTAGAGCGCTTACCTCCATGTAGTCGGGAAGGCTGTAACCGTGGTCAATCGGAATCAACTCGTGCTCAATGTCGCCGTTGGCATTTCGGCGCTTCCGAACGAGGATATTGGCGTCATTTCGGTCCGTATTTACAATGCTACGACGACGTTAAATGTAGAAAAAAGAGGGACTAAGCACACGCACCGCATGTCGAGGAGCACGATTTTGTGCACTTGGTGCGCGGAGAACATGGACGGCGAGAGGTCCGAGACCACGTCGTCATGACGCACAAACTCCTGCGACAACAACTATCCGATCTTGGACCGTCCACGAAAAAGTACGCACCTGGAGTGACCCCATCTTGTACACGACTTCGGCTTCACCATACCGAAACGCTATCGAGGCGGTGAGTAAACCAGACATACGTGCTGGGGAAACGAACCTGGGTGTTTGATCTCAGTCAGAGTCGTCGCTGGAACCCCGGCAAAGTGGTCCTGTGCACGCCTGCACGTTAGAACATATGGGTGGGCCAAGTGGTGCACCTTGTCGAGAAAGTATGCCGCAACTTCTCGCTCACAGGCCTCGCCCGAGAGAACTCCTTTGCGAAAGCCCGACTCGCCAAGCGCTGCAACGAAACCACGCGGGTTCATGGGTGCAAACGGCTCTTCGTTTTGGGGCTTGAAGCAGCAGACCTTGCGCTGGGTCGGGTCTTTGAGGAAATAGGTGCCACCTGTGCCGTCCATGGCGAGTTCAGGCACGAGACCGAGCGCTAAGCCCTGCATCGCGAGGTGCGCAGCCTTCATAATCGTTTTCGGGAACACGTGGTTGCCGTACGGGTGGATTGTAAAACATTTTCTGCTTCTTGCGCGCGTTGGCCGAGACGACGAGATGGACGACGACCTTGTCCTGGTAAATACCGCACTGCACCAGGTTTCGCACGTTGTTGAGCTCCGTGCCCTTGTAGTAGAGCTGCTGTGCAGAGGTTGGGATGTTGAGCATGGCCTGGAGCTGATCTTTCATGTCCTTGACGCACGCCCAAGGTTTGAGCACAAGCTTGATCTAGCACAGCATGTATGTACAGGGTGACGCCATGACGCTGCAGCCGCTTACCTTGCGATCGCGGGGATCGTTGATGCCTATCTGCACAAAGACGCTGACGCTGCCAAGGTCGTCGCTGTTGAAGCCACCAGGGTCCGAGTGCCTACGCGCAGAAGAGGTGAGCGACATGGGCTTCATGGGTGCGCAGTCGCACCAGTCGGCCACGGGGTGCGGCGACGCCTTTGCCTTGAGCTGCGCCACACGAAGGGACATGGAAGGCCGACGAAGAGGGTAGCCGGAAGGGTCAAAGTTTGCCGTCGGGTTGCTGGTTCGGCCGCTGCGGGGTCCTCCGTCGAATCGAAGAGTAATGGGCCCCATCGCCTTCTCTTCATGTTTCTATACGCAACGCCAAGATATCGCTGACGGGGGGTCCCCCTCCTGTGCCTTGCGTCTATTGGCCAATAATCTATGGGATGCTTCGAGAAGCCCAATCAGCACGGGCCATTCGAGGTACCATCACTCCGCGTCACCGCCGGAGTGGTGGTGAAAAGAACCCGCGCCACACGCTTTTTGCGGTGCCTCGTGGTGTGTGCTTGTGGTCGATTGCGACTCGAGACAGCTTGGCACTTTGCACTTGGACTCGAACAAGACAACGTGGACGCATGAACGCGCAGCAGCTCGAGCTACCCGTGACGGACGACGCTGACTACCGGTATATCCTCTCCAACTGGTCGAACGCCTACATGGACGATCTTGTACGCCACGCGAATGACGCAGACGTGGCCAAGTACTTGGCCAACCGGTTTCCGCACCCCTACACCAGCGATGACGCAATGAGCTTTCTCGCGTATGCCTCCAGCACGACAACGGAGCGCCTGTTTGCGATTGTTCGCCAGCACAAGGTGACAGGCGCGCGTGAAGCCATTGGCGGCATTGGCATGAACGTCAAAAGCGACGTTCAAGCGCACTCGGGTGAGGTCGGGTACTGGCTCGGAAAAAGCTTTTGGGGTTGCGGCCTCATGACGCACGTCGTCGCGACGTTCTTGGACGGGTTTGTGGAGCCGTACCGTGGAACGCACGCCCCCGTGCCACTCTCGCGCCTCTTTGCGGTCGTCTACGCACCCAACACGGGCTCGGTTCGCGTCCTCGAGAAGAACGGGTTTGAGGTCGAGGGTCGCTTGCGCCGGTACGCATACAAAATAACGAATACCTCGACGCGTTCCTTCTCGGGCGCGTCTACGAGTCGTAGACTGCAATTGAAAGACATGAGTGATGACGCGCACGCTAAGTCTATTGCTTATATAGTTGTGACGCGCTACGCTTAGATGAGCTTGCCGAGCTTGGCCTTACGCTGGACGGACGTGACGGCGTGGAAGACACCCGCGTCGACGAGGCCGAGGACTGTGTAGACGCCGCCAACAATCGCGCAGAGGGACGTGAGGAAGCGGAAGAATGGCATGCTTTGAGTGTAGAGCTCAATCACGAGCGGCGATGAGTCGTACGTGAAGAGAGCCGCAGGCACTTGGTTGGTCGCGTTGTACTGGTTGCTGCTGGCAGAGAACTCGTACATGCGCTCTGGAATCTGGTGCAAGAACGAGATTGTGTCCATATGGTCGACGCCAACAATCTAGTGCGAGCTATGAGACCAGATCACGTCAGCGATTGGGAACCTTGATGTAGTGCTCGATGGTAATGTTGCTGTCAAGCGCGCGGTAGTGCTTCGCGTCCATCGGGTAATGCGTCGAGAGCACAGCGCGCGGGTTGTTCATGCGCTGCTCCGTCGACTTCCACTGCCCAAACGAGAAATGGTTGATCTATCATCAGGCATGCACGCGTGAGCAGACAACATCCATGTATTTGTCGGTACCGTGTGTGTGACGTTGATGTCGCGCATATCAAACGACTGGTCACCAGAGTACGGGTAGAAGACGAGCTTGCCGGGCACTCGCTGGACTGCAATCGAGCCCGAAAGCTCGCAGCCTTCGTGGTCATGGTCATGGTCCTCGTTTTGCGGTGCCGCCAAGCGCAGGAGGTCACCAAACTCAGGGATCACCTCTTCAGCAAAGTCGCCATCCGGGTTCAAGCGGCGGTAAAAGAGGTCCAAAAACAGAAGCAGCGATTCGGCATTCCGAGGGCCGTTGTAAATGTACCGCGTGAACGTGTGGCCGTACATGTATATCATCATGGACGGAAAGGCGTGGATACGAGCGCGGCGGCAGAGGCTAACGGCGTTGTCTTGGGTGCAGTCGACACGCGCCATCGTAACGCGCTCGCTGTATTCGGGGTGGTCCTGCAGTTGAAGCGCTGTTTGTTCCCAAATCGGCAGCAGCGCCTGCGAGAACGGGCACCATGGGGCGTAGTAGTTGACGAGCACGAGTTCGTACTTGCTACAACAATAAAGCAATCACGATGAGTTCCGTTCCGGCAAGGAAGCGACGTACGCCATGAATTCGTCGAACGTGGCGTCGTTGAGGCTCGGCGTGATGGTCTCGCCGTCATGGAGCTCGTGAGTCACAGCGCCCCAGCGCTGAACGGAGTTAGGGTCGGCCATGAGAACTTCTTCGCCGCGCACAGTGCTGCCGCCTTCGTCAGTAAGTTCGAAGCGGCGGATGTGACGCGTGATGTTGGCGAAGCGCTGTCCCATGTGGTCCGACACGTCCACGGAGACGTGATGACACGGGATCGACGTCAGTGAGATGTTGAAGTTGATGCGCAAGAGATCTTCCTGGTGCGAATCCATGACCACCCGCGAAACGGTGCGTGACGACGACGCGAGGTAAGCCGCATACTCGGCGACGATGAGGTACAACATGACGACGACGGTCGTGATCGTGAAGAAGGCGCTCGTGCCCGACGACGTCTGGAGGTCTTCGGGAATCTTCCTACACATGTCCAGCGTCAACCTTGTACGCCATGGGGCCATCGGCACCGGAAGAAGTCGAAGCGGGGAGCCATCGTGGAACCGGCGGTGTGGAATTGACTCTGCGAGCTGACCTGCGTTTTAATGCCACGTCTCTTTTAAATTATTCGGTATAATCAGCATATTTGTATGTTGATTTGATCTTTATTTTGAATGAGGGCATGTTACATCGCGCGACCGAAATGGGCCAATCCAATCGCGCCAAATTGCACCAATCGCAAGCGACCATGCAATAAGATTTCGGCAAGGACATCATTGCTGCTAGGATCGGCACCCGCGGCAACAGCGTGTCATTGTCAGTATGCAGAAGCGTATCTTTAAGGGAATATACTCTTGGTAAAAGGAAAGCGCATCGCCGCCCTCACGCGGTCGACACACACGTCTAGCCGTCATCTACTGCAAGAATGGATGATGTGTACGAACCACACTTGCAATGCACTTATTTTATGGCCATTATGCAGAATCTACGTTACCGGTAAATCATGCTCAAGCAAATCTGTTGCCACCTCTGGTATTTGTATGGAAGGATCCACCGTCGTAGGCAAGGTGCTAGCTTTCGCGCTGCCAGGCATTATCGCCGACGTGGCAAGCTATCGTGTGCGGCGCAATTCTCGAGTCAGACGAAAGGCCGCGTCTGATTCGCGCTTGAAATGCCGTGCGTGGATTGGCTCGTTCGAGCAGAATTCGGCAAAGGCCTAATTAGGACTCATGTTCCACGTGGTGCATCGGGAGTCCATTGGGGAAAACTAAGACGTCGGTGAGGCAGCAGCAGTGCGTAACCCCGCCAGCTAAACTTAGCACCACTCCTGATCGCGCCTGATGAAGCTGTACCTGCTCCTCGCAACGGCCGCTGGCGCCGTGAGTGCGACGCCCGCCCATACTTTCGACCCCGCGACAAGCACCGAGTGGCGCCCAAGCGTCGGTCAAGCGCCGGGCCTCAAGGTGCCCATCGCGGACCAGCAGCGACTGCTGCAATCGGCCATCAATCAGTTTTACGGCAACGGCTCGACCCCATCGAATGGAAGTCTGTCTGATGTCGAGGTCGCGTCCAAGACGGGGCTTGCCCGGGCGCAGTTCCTCATGGGCATTGCGCACTCCACGGGTCTCTGGGGTGTCGACCGCCATGACGCAAAGGCAGCGGTTGAGCTCTACTTTGCTGCGACCGGCGGCGACATCGCCGCCTCCATGGCGATGGGCTACAAGCACATGGTCGGTGCTGGTGTGCCGAAGAACTGCGAGACGGCGCTGCGATACTACGAAGTCGCGGCAAACCGTGCTGTTGAACTGCGCGAGCACGAAGACTCGCTGAGTCCTGTTCTTCACGACCAGCGCCACAAGCGCCTAAAGACCGTGGCAGAAAGCAATCAGAAGCGCAGCGCTCCAGGAGACGAAGACGTACGCAGCATGATTGTTCATCGGATCTCGTTTCTCACATCTTTTTAGGTCGTTGAGTATTACCGGTTCTCGTCTGAGAAAGGTGACGCTGAAGCGACACTCAATCTTGCTTTGCTCTACTACTATGGCGCGCGGGGTGTGGCGCAAGACGTGCGCAAGGCGGCAGTCTACTTTCACCGGGCCCACGAATTTGTTCGCTGCTTTTCGCTTGTCGTCCACATCTCAGCTGCCAATATTGAACCATAGGGTGCGACGTCGTCGGCAGCCAATCTTGGCCACATGTACGCCAACGGGATTGGCGTCGCCGTCGACATGAAACGGGCCTTTGATTACTTTCAAGAATCGTCCCACGAAGGCAATGCGGCGGCCCAGAATGGACTTGCGACCATGTATCTTCGGGGGCAAGGCGTTGTTCAAAACAAGAGGTACCTCGCCGTCCGCTGTTCGTGTGGTATACACATCGCTCTATAGCAAGGCTATCATGCTCTTCCGGACGGCGGCCAAGCAAGGCAACGCGGATGCCTTCTACAACCTCGGCGTGCTCAGTCTTCAGGGCGAGCTCCAAGCCGACGGGTCACCAGAGTATGAGACTGCGTTTGGGTACTTCCACGTCGCGGCACAGCATGGCCACACGCTTGGCATGCACAAAGTGGCACACGTATGCAGACTCGGCACGGCTGAAACCTCTGGGTTCATGGTTCTGGGGTAGATGACGACGCATGGCATTGGCACGACGCGATCGTGCAAGTCCGCTCTCGACTATATGAAGCTCGTGGCCGAGCGCGGTGCGTGGGACCACGAGCTCCGCAGCGCGTACCGTGCGTACGTGGCGGTACGCTGAGTCATCCTGATGCTTCTCACCCGTCTTATGAATCTGCACAGGGCGACTACACCCAGGCATTCCGCAAATACGTTGTCATGGCCGAGCAAGGCTACGAGGTCGCGCAGCACAACGCAGCATACCTTCTGGAACACCAGCTCGGCATGTCACCCGCTGTGGCGTTGGGTGACCAGACGATCCGCATGTACAAGGCGGCGGCGGGCCAGGTATTTTGCGATAAAAACCTTCTAAGCTTGGCAAGGATGCCGCTAACGCTCGGAGTAGGGAAACGTCGACGCGAACTTGAAGCTCGGAGACTTTTACTACTATGGATACGGCACAACGGCGCCAAACTTTGTGCGCGCAATGGCTCACTACGCGATGGCCGCGAACCGAAACGCGCAAGCGAGCTTTAACCTCGGGTACATGTACGAGCACGGAATTGGGTCGAGCCAGGACTTTTGCTCGCAAAGCGCTACTACGACCTCGCCAAAGAGATCCACAGCGACGCGTATGTGCCGGTCACGCTTGCGCTCTACAAGATGTCGTGGCACGAGGCGCTTCTGCCCTACGGAGACGTACGGTGTTGTACCGGCATGCGCTCGCCTCTCACAAGTTTTTGTAGATGGAGCACGACGAGCTCGTCGAGACGTTGGCGACGCAGCTCACGGAAATGCTGGCTGTGGACTGGAGTGCAATGGGTGCGACCGTGCTCGAGTCGATCGTGTCCGTACTGAGGTTTCTCTCCGGCCTGGATATGGTGCTCTTGCTCTTGCACGCAGATGTCGTGCCGGCGACGGACACGATCGTCATCCTCGCGCTTCTCGCCGCTCTTGGCGTCGTTTGGACGATTCGCCACCGGCGGCGGCTGGCGCGTTTGGCCGCCAACGCGTAAAGCGCCCCAACGACGTACTAGCGATTATGACTAACTTCACGTGCGTGTTCACCATTAACTTCTACTTGTGCTGCACAGAGATCGAGAAGAACACGGTGCAGGAAGGGTAGTATTAAATAAGGCAAAGGATGATGGTCTACGCAGCAAGCTCCTTTTGACGCTCGAGCAGAAAGTGACGCAGAAAGTCAACGCTCGCCTTGGACGCAGCGACAGCAACCATTGGGTTGGGCGTGTCGACACGAATGAGGTTGGGTGCGAGAATAATCGAGAGCTGCTCAATGCCCATGTGGTTACTCGACTCGGCGCTCGCGACGTGGAGAAGAAGGTCTGCGAGCCAGAGCAGGATGGCATGCTCGGCCGGATCCAGGTCGGGTAGCGCGGTGCCTTCACTGTGCACGAACTTGTCCATGGCGGCCATAGACACGCGGTGCAAGAGCGGTGTGGGGAGCTCACGGAACCAAACCTTTATGAGGTCAGCAACAATGCGCACGTCGTCGACGTCAGCGCCACAGAATGTACCACTGTTGATCGAGGCAATCGCGCGGTCCCGGGCGGCCTTTCCTGGGCTTTCGCGAAAGATGTAGGGCATGACGTGTCCCTGATGGAGCGCAAACTGGTGCTGTAGCATGACGAGCACAGCAGGGATTCGTTCCGTGTAGGGCCACAGCTCTGTCCGAGGCATGTGCGTGATTGGCAGGTTGAAGTGCTGGTTCATGTTCCAGGCGTCGAGGCTGCGGCCGGCGTCGCCTTTGACCTCGTAGCGTGCGGCCTGGTAGTTGTAATAGATGTGCAGGTCGTGCGAGGTTTCATACGGCGCGCCGATGCAGAACGTCGACGCGGGTGGTTCGGGCGCAAAGCAGGCTTCGAAGAGGACCATGGATGGCAGGCAGCTCACTGACGTCGATGGGGTTGGCAACTGACGCCAGGTGGGTTTTGTAGATATTTTTATTCGCCTCAGTATTTTATTTTCGAAGCCCGAAAATAGAACGCGGAAACGACTGCGGCGCAATTGCGTCGAAATATTTTACGGTATTCTACCGTCGTTCCCATCTTGTATGAAAGATCGTGGGCAGTCCGATCAACTTGTCGCTCGTTGCGCGCATGAGCTGGGCATGGGTATATCGATACTTGTATCGTAAGACCGCGATGCGCTATTTCGTATGAACAGGTCGACGAGTACATGTAGTGGCATATCCAGATAAATGATCCTGCAATGTGTCGGTACTAGTATACCGGTATAGAGCTCTCTCTTCTATTGAAGAATCAGGAGGCGTCAGATTGATGAATGTGTTTCCGGTCGCTGCCTTGCCAAGGTTATTATCAACCACGGCAAGAAGCATGGGGAACGAAATGCGATGTGTCACAGACCAAGTGTAGTGCGTTCTGCAGCGTTTGCTGACGTGATGCGTCGAGGAACTCACACGCTCGACTGGTCGCGCTTTTGCTTTGATATTTGGTGTGCAGTACCAATAATGAAAAGCTCAGGCTAACGGTGTCTGTTGCAGAAGTCGTATGCATGCAGCTCGTTGTGAACGAACGTTGAAACGTGGGACGAGCTACTTCGCAACTGAAGTGTGTACCACAATGCACCTGCTCTGCTTCAGAAATGCTGCCGCCACATATATCGCCCACAACCCCAACAGGCAGCTCATCGTTCTTTTAACATCAAGAAAAGTGCCTTCGAATGTAAATGCGGTGTCAAAGTTTGGCGCTGTATGAAGCGCTCGGGGTCGTCACCTCGACACTCATCCCGACAACGTTTTCAGGCGACGCTTCATTGCGAGTTATAGGGTGACGTATTTTTGCGCATCTCTCAGGCGGACCCGAGGTACCATTGCACGACGTTGGTCCACGTCACAAAGAAGAAGATGAAGAGGCCGATACCGATCGTGCCGTAGTCAAGCGCCTTGTTAGCCCAGTGTCGCTCGGGTGCCAGTTTGAGATAGAACCATGGGGGGTAGATGAATCCGAGGGGCACTACACGGCAAAAATGAGTCGCGAATCATTGGCCAGGTTGCCGTCCTACCGCAGCAAAAGGCGCCCACAAGCGACACGAAAAGGTCCAAATGCGCTTGACCAGCGTACGCGATGGCGACCGTGGAGAGAACCACGAGCGTCCGCACAACATTTTTTGCGCCTTGAGCCCCGACGACCGACGCTGGAAGCCAAGAACGTCTTCAACGATCTGGAGTGCTGGAAAGAGGAAGAGCGGATACGCGAGCGTCTGCGCAAAGGCGTAACCAGCCTGGACGGCCATTGTTTGCGGTGTCCGCGGCAAACTCGAGAGGATCATGGGCTGGACAGCGTTGCCAATCGCCGCGTAGTTGACGCTCGCAAATAGCGAAAAGAAGACGACGCAGCCCGCGATTGTCTTGGCAAGGAGCGACGGGAACTGAGGCTGTAGGTTTGGCGCGAGAGCGGCCTGGGTTGGAATGATAAGTCCGATGCCCTCAAACACAAACACGGCGGTGCCGAGAAAGATCGAGTAGTCGCTCGTGTTGAAGCCTTCGAGCGGCTCGGCAATGCCATTGGCCGCGAGCATGCGACCATTCGTGTACATAATGTACACAATAGCGTACAAGACAAAAACATCCGCGACGAGGTTGCTCAACGTAAAGTACCTGCAAGTTGCCACGTCATACAAAAGGGTGACAATGAAGCAGACACACGTACCGCATATAGCGAATCCACGATAGAGGTATGTAGACGAGCGTCTGCAGCAAAATGAGGCTCGTGAGCGATATGGGCGTCTCAAAGTACACGGAGACATCGCGGAGGTTCTGCGCGACAAAGATGATGTACGAGCAGCAAAACCCAAACTGCATGAGCACGAGCGACGTCTGCACGAGGCGGTGGCCGACAGGACCCAGTACGACGCTACCGATGTGGCTGTACGACCCGCCGATACGCGCGCGGCACGCAAGCAGTCGCAGCATTGCAAACACTGTGACGATCGCAATGGCCGTGAGCAGGATTGGTGCGAAGATGACGCCGCCGCGCTGAAAACCCTGTGGCAAGAAGAGGATTCCCGTGCCGACAAAGGACTTGAGGAGCGAGAGGAACGCGTGCGTCAGTGTGGTTTCTTTTGTCTCTATCTTCGGCGCGAGTGGCGTAAGCTCGTCGGTAAAGTACGATGCCTGGAGCAAGTGCTCGACGCGCGCAGCTACGTCCATCTCCTCAAAGGACGCATCGTCGAGGGAGAGCACAGCCGATATAAAAGGGTCGTAGATCGTTGCAAGCGTCTGCGCAATCGTCGCACGCACAGGTGCTGATACCTTGGGCGTCGAGCCCGAGTAGTGGTAGAGGCGGCGAAAGTCCGTAGCGTCGGCAAAGTCGACGGGCGGAACTGGCGCTAGCGAGGCCGCGAGACGCCCCGGGTCCTAACGAAGTTAACGGATCTGGCGAGCCTTACACGTTGCCTACCGAGTTTGTACGGCGCAAAGCGTCCTTCTCCATGTCGATGAGATCGTCCAGTTGAGTCATTCCACGAAAATGAAAAGTGCGATACTTGATTCGATCGTCAGGCCGAATGGCCATGTCGATCGATCTTGGTCTGAACCAGTGTCGCAGAACTCTGCATGTACCATGTACGGAGACCATGTACTGCGAGAACATAATGGATGCCCACAACTGAAGACGCTCCAGCGCGTTTGCCCGTACATTGGGAAATGCAGCAATGCATGTACTAGTACCGGTACCCTTGCAGGCATCGATTGTTTTCCTTTTCTCATAAGGTGCTTGGTCATTCGGAGCGGTACTTCCCAAAATGCACCTGCAAGACACGATGCTTCCACAAAGACAGCGTTCTACGTTGTGAAAAGAAGTTTCGCACAATGGTACCAAGCTATCAAGCCGTACACGATAATCGTCGCGAGCACACTGCGTAGCTTTAGCGTTAGCGGTTGGCACCTTGATTCCCGTATGCTACAGTATGCAGTGCGTTGAAATCTTTCATGAACGTAGGCAGCGAACGTTTACTACTGTATTATACTGGTAGGAACCCCTGGTTACACCAGCCCATAGGCTAATGTGCCGTCCGTCCGCTGTCTGTCCGCTGTCTGTGCAGTATCTGATTGGACAAAATGAACCCGCAGCTACACGTTCTCATTGGCCAAGTGCAGAAAAGGCCCGCATTGTGCAACGCAGAAAACGCGCGCGATAGCTGCCCGCGATAGCTGCGTCGTAGTACATGTACTGTACATGGCTCGACGCACCGTACGTCCACCAACTGCAGCGGCCAAAGCGACATAGTGCGTCAAGGAGCTACTACAGTACATAGACATATAGGCACAACGCACTCATGTACAGCAAAAGCAGAATCCTATGCAGTCCTACCAACCCCAACGAGAAACACGAGCGGCCACGGGCGCGCCGCCAGAATTCGAGGACGTCACAGCGCTGCGGCACTCGCTGATCGAGCGCTGGAACGATCCAGGCTGCTCTGTGTCGGGTAGTGGCTTTGATCGTACGCATCTGAAGATGAGCCCGCGAAAGCTGCGCGCAAGGGCCATGCGTCGGCGCGCGCCAACGAGGATGAAGCAGCCAAGACAGCGCGCCTCAAGAAAGGGCAATCCGCGCCGCTGCGCTCAAGGGCACGAATGCCGTTCATATATGTCGCTCCTCCGTTGGATGAAGCAGTACGTCTACTGCGATGGCACGATCAATCCACGGCTGCGTGGTCGTCGACACTTGTTAACTTCACGTACATAAAACATTTTATACAAAAGGCATGTTGTGAACACCAAAACGGTCATGTGTGCATTCCTACCAGCCCCCTCCACAGGAACCTTGTAGTTTTATGTGCCCATGTTTCGGTAATAGTTGTTGGCCCAGTGTTGCGAAACTCGAATCCATTTGCTCGAAAGAAAGCGAGGACAGCGTCGCAAGTGGTACACAGGCGTCATCCAATACCGTACACGGGCGTGGCCACCTACGGTCCAGCGCACGCCATCGAGTCAGCATTTGGATTCAGTCAAATCGAACCCAAGTAGCGAGCTGTTGATCATGCTCGTGCTGGATTGACATTCGGCCAGTGCCGGCGATGTGTATGGGCCACGGCAGGCGCTCGATTGCAGTCTCTGGGGCGTTGAGGGAATGAATGAATATAATAGGATCCACGCAGTTACTCACGCCGTCTCTCTGGAAACTTATAAAACGTAGCCCATGCATTTTCAAGGCCACCAATCGAAATGCGGCGCTGGCTGTTTTCGGCAGCTTCTGATTGGCCAATAATCAACACGTCTGTCGAAGAGTAATGCATTCTCGAAGAGGCCGCGACCCCGCCCGCGCCGAGCGATGCGTACGAATGGTTGGCAAGCGCCCTTTGACCTGCTGCAGGTCGTGGCATGGGTCACCTTCCCCGTCCTCCTCGGCGGCTTCTTCGCCTTCTACGTGCCCTTCCTGCCGGCGACGCTGGCCATCGTCTTGGGCGTGGTACGCTCAATACTCTCGTGGTGCCGAACCACACGCTCTTCACATTAGATCTACGGCACGAACGGTGTGTTGATCATGGTCTTAGCGGGTCTCTGCACGTATATCAACCCCGCGGACAGAAACATTCTGACCGAGGCCGAGCTCAGTCCTGCGCAGATCACGGACGACCTGCTGTACTGCAACGTATGCACAAAGTACGTCGATAAGCGATCGCGCCACTGCCGCCTTTGCGAAAAGTGCGTCGCGACGTTCGACCACCACTGCAAGTGGCTGAACAACTGCGTCGGCGCCCACAACTATCGTTATTTCTTCGTCCTGATCTGTTCGACACTCGTCTTTACGATGTTTCAACTCGCGGTCGGTGTTTACCTATTTGCCACCTCGTTTGCTGACCCGACATCGATTACTAGCAATGGTGCGTTGGGCACACTCATCTCTCGTTCTTACGTGCTGTGCGTAGGCGCTGCGACGTACGGATGCAAGGATGGGACTCCAGCGTCAGGCACGAACGTTTGTACCAACGACGGGTAAAACGCGCGCGACACCTTGCGTTCGCAAAAGAGGACGGCCTGAATGGCTATTTCATGTAGATACATGTTTCCTCTCGTCGCCGTCAAGATTCTGCTTGGCCTCTACTCAGCGTTCCTGGTCCCATCGACGGTGTCTATCCTGCAGCTCGTAATATTTCACATCAAGCTCTGTACGGCCGAACTGATACACTCATTGTGCTCATTTCATCAACCTTAGGCCGGAACGGATCCACGACGTACGACTACATCGTTGAGCAGCGACGGGCAAAAATTGCCCGCGCCCGCGGCGACTCTGCATTGGCAAATGACGAGGGCGATCTGTGTGTCTGCTCTGCACCCCGTCGTCGCACAGCTTCCGAAGGCGCAACACAGCAGCCGCCACGGTGCGTATGTGTTATTACACCCACATTGCTTACCTACCCAAATCTAGGCCCACCGTGTCGTCGGCTGCGCCTGCATCGTTCCGATCGTCAGCCGCGGCTATTGACGGACCGTTCGTTGGCAGTTTCGATCGTGGGTTTGGCAAGCACGTGCAGCTATATGATCACTCGTCCGAGGAGACGCACCACTCACCGACAAGTCCGTCGCAGCGAGAAGAGTTTGGACAGCAGTTCCATGCGTACGCAAGTCCCGCTGCCATCAAACTCGGAGCAAGTGCCAAGCGCGAATCGTTCTTCGTGTGAGATTTTAAACACTATGTACCAATTGATCAATGATGGATCCTTCCACGTTCGCTTTGCCAAAAGCACACTGTAGTAGGACCGTAGTTCGGACAGGACTCGTATCAAGATAGTCTTGGCAACGGAATGCAGGTGCTATTGTTGTTATCCTTAACACTGGCGCAGGGTCACGTTGCGGGCATCCGCACCGAGCTCGACCGTCACGACGTCAACGATGCCGCTCGAGAGCTGCGGCGACCATGTCGCACGCGCGTTCGACTGCGGGTGCGTGGCGTGCACGGCGTACACGGCGGCGTGGGCAGTCCACGAACCCATGTTGTATTCGTGCTCGCCAAGAACGATGGTATCATGCGGCGCGACCGTCACGCGTTCGCGGATAAAGTCCTTGCCATCGGCCGCTTGGTGGTCGGAGCCAAAGACGGCTTCGACAGAGATGGGCGTCGCGCTAGCGTTGCGGATGGCGACACGGACGGCGTAGCTGGGAGGGCAGACCATCCTTCTCAAAGGCGGTTGGATGGATTATGAAGCTCCAACGGGCAGCTCCTCGCTACATACACTCTTGGCAGAAGGTTCCTGAGTGCTTGTATTTCCCAGGACCGGTTTTTCTAAGCGACAGGTACACCCGGTCCCAGTTGATAATTTTTATCTCAGTTGGGCCACGAAGTTGTTGACACTAGTATGCTTATAATCGAGCTTCTCAACCGTCATTTATGAGAGATCAAGGAAGATGTCCGTTGTGAATTGCAAACTGAGACTCTCGTCTTTTGTATGTCGGTAAAGACACTACGTAAATGGGCAAGCTGATGTGGGATTGGCTAGAGCAGGTACGTGGTGCCCAATTGGCTCCGTGGCATCGCTGACATACATCGACCGCTTGAGCAATGGAATGGTTCAAGACCCTCTTCGGCTTCCGAGAGAAGGGCTTGGCCTACGACGAGGTCCAAGCCAAGTTTGAGATCGTCAACGAGACGCAGCTGTGCAGCCTCACGAACGGCAAGACGTACGACATTGGTACTTTCGAGTGCCTATCGCTGGCAACGCTACGCGACCATGCAATGTGCGTCGGGCGTCTCGGCCACGTCCGCCTTACCCACGCCGCATCGAAAGACGTGTTCCTGCTGCACTGTGATCCGCGAAATCGGCACGCGACGTTCCAGGCCGCTTCCCAGTTCAATTGCCTCGAATTTGCCCACCCGCGAGCGGTACGAGAGGCCGTTCCTGTTGCCACCACTCGTCCTCATAATTGCTGTAGCGACCAGAGGACGGCGTCACGATTTACGCGCATGATATGACACAAGGGCCAGCGTGCGCCATCGGTACACGTACAGTCGGCGATTGCGCTAACAAGGTTCACTGTAGCGGCGGGTCCAGGAACCGTTTTCCGCAACTACTTTGCGTCGCCAGACGCCGATCAGCAAGGACAGAGAGCAGCGAGCCAGATCAATAATCTCGAAGATGTCGAGGACATGCTCGACAATGAACGGCATCAGTATTTCCGCGTCGTGAACGGCTACACGGATGCTACGAATGCGAGCCTACAGCGGCTCAATGACGTGCTCGAGACCGCCAACACGGATGATCTTGAGAATGCGCTGAAAGTCGGTGTCCACTGGAACGTTGAAGTGCCTTTCCAAGCCAGGTACCGCCCGAGCAGCCCCAGCAGTGACAAGCAACTCGTCACACAAGTGTACTGCTCGGCCATTTCGTGTGGTTACTCGTACGCTTCGGCAACTGCGTGGGCGCCTTTTGCCAGCCTCGTACTTCGCGCCAGCTACGAAGCTACTCTGTGGGCTGCCATCATCAACGCTTCAATCACCGGATCGACCCAAGTATTTCTGACTGTTCTCGGGGGCGGCGTTTTTGGAAACAAGACAGCGTGGATTCTTGATGCAATCGCCGTCGCCGTCGCGAAGTGCCACGCGTTCGACCTCGACGTTGTCATTGTACATTATATGAAGGTCGATAAAGCACTCGTGACAGCTCTAGACAAATTGTTGCCGATACCCGGTGGTATATCATAGGCGTTTTTTAATTCCTACTCAACATTGTGATACGAAAGTGATGCACAAATGCATAGTACCGATGTACTGTACATTAGCACAGAGAGAACTTACCCGGAACTTTGATTGACACCAAGGGTTATATGACATGTGCCCAGGGTGCGAAGTTTATAGAGCGACCATCTATATACATGTCATTAAAAATATGGTTGTTCCACGCCATGCAAAAAGGTTGCATTGCGCGATGATGAACCAACTCAATACACACAAAAGGAGCAGAGAGCCCAGCCGAAAAGCCAAGTAAGAAAGCGGCCGGACGGCCACTGGGCTACCTCCCCCCTAGTCAAATATTAGAGATTAGAGACCACAGAAGCAGTTGTACTTCTTGTCGAGTCTTGAAGGTTTTTCAATGCTCTAGAGGGTGCCGATGTCGCCATAGCTTGTATTTTCGGGTACTTCACGCTCGGCGACGTCGCGCTCTACAAGCGCTGCAACAGTGTCCCGCTGAGCGAGATCGTCGCCCGCAAACGCTGGCGCCTGCTGGGTCACGTGCTGCGCCTGGAGAAAGACGTCCCTGCCAACATTGCTGCCGCCGGCTTCTTTGCCGCTCCCGAGGCGCCCCGTTTTTTAGGCCGCACCAAGATCACGTTGCCGATCGTCCTACACCACGACCTCCAGTCGTTGACGCCGCCTCAGTCGCTGGCATCTCTCGAGGACCTCAACAAGCTGCGTAGCTTTGCCGCCGATCGCGATGCCTGGAAGGAATCTACGGAGCTTGTCAGCATGGGCCTCACCCGCGGCCACAAGCGTCCCCGCGGGACTTCAGAAGAGCAAGATGCACCCCCGCGCCGCCGCCTGCGCAACCACGGCCCGGCGAGCGAATGAAGAAGAAGGAGATTGCTAGTCTCTACGTATGCGAACTCTTTGTAACAACGAAGATAACGCGAAACACGTTCATATTCACGAAGGTCTACTTCGCTGCAGTGGTGGCTTCCGCGGTGCTCTGGAAAAGAGAGCCATTTTTCAGAACCGAGGTATTTGATTTGCTGAAGCCCGAGAAGGGTGATTCTTCGACAACTACCAGCACGCTGTCTAGCACGAGCAACCTAGAAGTTATGACAGTGCTATCAGTACTATGGCTAACATAGTACTGATAGCGCTGTCATAACTTCTAGGTTGCTCTTCTCGCATCAGCGATGATCCCACAGAGTCCCCTTCCTCGTCTCGGGCTCGATCCCATGCTTTTTCGTAACATTTCAACAGACCCACGCTCCAGTCGTGTCATTTGCCGAGAAGAATATGTACTTTTCCACGTAGCGCGGCCTCGACGGGATAAAGATTAATGCCTCGGTCCTCTCCAACGGCCTAGCCATCGACGTCACGTCGTCGGAGCCAGGCAGCAAGTCGAACATCGCGATCTCGGAGGCCAGCGTCGACTTTCATCTTTGACAGCTCGAAAAGCTGCCGGTTGTAAAACGCATGACGGACGACGGCCCGCTTCTCGACGAGTACGACAACCAGTGGGTGGTCCTCGCTGACAAAACGTGCGGCCGACAACGAAGAGTACACGCGAAAACGATGACGAACTACCGCCAGTACCGCCAGAGGCGCAAGGAACGCCTGGAAGCGTCATGGCCCAACACCCTCGAATACGACACCGAGGGCATGTATTATAATTCCGACAATACTCGATTGTTTTGATGCGTGCAGAAGAATAGGCGATAAATTCACCTGTGGACGTAATAACGGAAATTTCAGAATTTTGATTGCATCTTCTGTTGTTACAGAGTGATTTCGTTGTTTACTTAATCTACATCGTAGAAAAGACTGTCCCAGCGCAAGAAACAAGATCCTTGTCGATGAACTGGCCGCATATAGTGAGCCATAGTTGTATTTGTCAAGTGGGCCCCATATAACTGAATACTCAATCTTTGGTTTAGAGATCTATTGAGGGCTGAAAAATCGAAAAATACACCATTTCTAACATGCTTTCGCGGCTAGTACGCCGAGTTGTCCAGATTCGAACTAAATGCTCACGAAGTAACGTAGCATGGCTCGAAGTACGTGAGAAGCACGTGCATTGGGCGTCCCGAACGCACCCTGAGCTACAAGCAATAGCGCAAGTATTATGGCGCTGACGCTGACCGAAGCGACAACGTGTGACCCAGTTAAATTTGCTCGAAATCACCCGAGAATAAAATGTCTTGCCGCCGAAACGTCGATTCGAATTGCATACATCTCTGAGCATGATATTAACGGCGTTAATGGCGTCTTCGTGGATCATTGGGCACTCGTCCCAGACAAAGAAATCGGCCTTGCGGAGCAACGCGGCAAGTTGGCTGTGTTTTCTCACACAAAGGTCCTTTCGGCGTTGAACGACAATAGGAGCTAGACGTGCTTATGAATGATGGTATCGCCGTGTAGTGCAGTGAGGCCCATAGATGCAAGGGCAATCGCGACGCATTCAATGGACCGGAACCATGCAAGCGAAAGTTTTGATACGTCGCTCTACCCAGAGCCGCTATTACCACACAGAAAAATTGGCGTCTTCATTAGTATGGCGCCAGTCGACCTCGCGGCATACGGCATCGGGGTCAGCATGCTGCTGCGGGTTGGCGGTAAAGAGGCCTCTAGCCTCTGCCGCGTCGCCCGCAGAGCTATGGCGTGCTGTGCGCTCTGTGCTGTGCACTCTATGTCATACGTCCTCTAAAGTGCTGGCGGCTGTCAGCGGTCGGTGGTCGCTCCGATGGCGCCCGCTCGTTGCGCGCAGCACACATTTAGACGTACTATTCACTACGTTTACTAGGATTTTGAGTTAGTTTTTGCTAATTTGATTTTAACGCAAACACGTTTGATGGATTTATGTCCTGAGAGGCGCGGCCGTCGGTCATCCAGGCCGCGGCAGAAGGAGGCCTCATCAGTCGACGCCTTCGCCTGCTGCGAGCCGCGCCATCAGACCAAGCGATGATGAGCGATGAGGAGCTCATCGCCACGCTGTACAAGACGACGTACCCAGACATCAAACCAAACAAAGAAAACATATCCAACGCGCGACGCCGCAAAAACGGAAACAAATGTATCAAGACAACCGCCCAGCTCCATGCCTCCAGAAGAAAAACGAGTCAACATGCCCAGCGCCAAAACCAAAACACTTTTATGTACGACGACCGACCAAGACGCCAAAACAAAACAACTCGACCAGTGTTGGTCACCAAGCCAACGACTTCCATCAGTCCGCGAGTTCAAGTGAGCACCCCCTGTGTACCTTCGGGTGCTGCAGCTCCAGGTCTGCCCACGGTCGCATCCAAGTGGACCTCGGGTCTGGCTCACGACCGCGGACGCTGCTGGTCGATCAAGTAGCTTGACGATGGACCACATACTAGAAAAGAAACCCATAGTGGTAATCCCGGTAAAACACCGCCTGACAAAGAATTAAGCGATATAGATTGTACTCTATCGAATTCTGACTCTCTAAGCGTCGTCTTTTATCAGTTAAACGTTTGTTTAAAAATATTGACAAGAGTGTGGCCCTACGGTCACACTCTATTCTAGGCGCAATATTCTTCGGGCTGATAGTATGCTAGTAATTGGTGTGTAGTGTCGGGAAGAGAGTCTTTCTGATTGCTTTGAGTTTTGCTACCATCTACGCGTCCAGCGCAATCCCGGGTGACGAAATTTAATTGAGAGTAATCTTACGAACAGTTGGAACTTCCACTGTTCAGTAGCGTGTCAAGGATTGCCTGTCATATACTGCCACAATAGAGGTTTCGTTATCTTAAGAAATGTCCGATGTATTCAATGCGATGCGCTTCTGATGTATGAATAACTGTACATCTTGTATACGTACTCAATGGCAGAGTAGAGAGGGATGCAAAGAGGTGATAGATGCTGTCCGAAAATTCTATGCGTTGCAAACCTCTAGTGCGTTAAGAGACATCGCTAGCTGTGAATAAGAGCTGCAGTTGAAGACACCTATGCGAAAGTGGACACTACGAGAAAGTAGAAGGAATGCGATGGTGCCTTCGCACAGAAAGATCACAAACAGCGACTGCCAGGGTACATTCTAAGACCGTGAACCAAGAGCAGTGAGCACCACGCTACACTTGGTTCTGCGCATAGGAGGCAAATCACATAATGATGACAGTACCGCCGCTTTATGCAGCCTACAGTGTCTTGTTGATGATCAGAACACACTTGAAGGGTGTTTGTCAGACCCGCTTGGATGCCGAGCTCATCTGCAAACGCCAAAACATCGCATCCACGCAACGTTTTCTGGTTGTAGCAAAAGGAACTTCTTTATCGAGAAGATTATGAGATGGGCAAAGCGAGCGTTGATGTTATGTCTATTTTGAGTGTGTTTTTTTAAAGACGGGCAGCGACAGCGATATTTTGTGAAGAAGAGATCACTTTTTTGTCTAGTGGTGACGCATTTCTGATGCGAAGTGAATATTTTGACTGTACTTTTATATATCTACGGGGAGAAACATTTGTACAGAGTGTCACGCACACCAGTGCATTACGCTGATGAACGGCCAACGCAGTGCGCACTTCAATCCCCTCGCTCGTAGCTGCCGCAGCACAGCACACGCTTGGCGCAATTATTCATTGACTTGGTGACCAACTGTTGGTGAGTACCGGCAAGCCTCGGATGGGTAGCTTGCTACACTCATCGCCGCCATACATGGACGCCCTGCCAAAGCAAACTAGCTGCATTCGTCTCAGCTGCTAAGCGGAAAGTGGACTCGCTCCGCTCATCTAGCCGCTTCCCAGCATATTGTTAGCATGGCGACGTCGTGAGGCTTAAAAAAACTGAATTGAGTGTCAGTAAATATGCTTTCACTATACCGATTTGGGATATTTTTCCCGCAATGTCCGGATTTCCACCTCGGTGTCGAAACTGCCTCGGCAACCCTACAAAGCATGCACGACTACGTCAACTGGTGCGTTACGCAGACAAATGCATTTCGCACTGCATGAGCGCCCTCGCTTCACTCTTTGAGCCGCTTCGCGGCCACGTTGGATTCGCCTCGGTTGGTCCGATCCAGGTGCGTCCAGAGATGGTGTA